TATAATCCAATTCCTACAATTAAGTAATAATTAGTCTAAATAATTTAATTAGTTCAACCCTCTTAAATGATGAATAAGACATTATATTTAAATTCTCACCTAATAACAAAAATCTATTGATAATTACTTTAGATCGACTACCGCTAAGAGATTAAAAAGATGATGAATTACCTCTGAATCCATATTTGTCACCAAATTATTCTTATTAACAATTAATGGAGAATTCAAGTACAATGAAGAATTTTTCGATAATTTTTTACTCTTTTGGAAAGTATATCCAAATTTTGTTAAATCATTTATTAATGAAGTATATATTTATATTATAATAGATGAGATTAAAAAAAGAAAAACCAAATGCATGAAAGATACATTATATTTTTCATATAATTTGGAAATAAATATGAAAATAAATGATATTATTTTATTTCTTTTTTCTTCTTTTAATTTATCTTGATCTAGTAATATCAATTAATCAAATTAGATTCTTTTTAAATATGCTAAGAAATTTTATAAAGAAAGTAGATTCTAATGAATTCAATATTTCACCAAAATAGAATTCATTAAGTATATTGCTTTTAGTTTTCATATCTTTTTACATTATAGGTGTCTTTTAAAGAAGTATTAAAATTAAATTGCTTTTTATACTGGTACTTAGACTGATGAAAGTTTTGAGCTTATATTAAATAATGAAAATACTATATACATTAAATGGGTCAATTTTGAAAAATAATACAGAAGTTAATAAGTACTTAATATGTATATTCAGATATTTAGTTTCTTTACTTTATCTGTATAATATGTATAACAACAAAGAGTAGAAGGTAATATAGGATTTACACGAAATTAAAGTCAATTAAATTAAGCAAAATGTTCTAAAGAGGTGATCTCGAAATTCAATTTCAATTCAGCTTCAATGACTTAAGAATAGTAATAACATTTAATTTGTTTCAATGGAGATTTACTTTATTAGGTCAGTTTTATGAACCTTATTTTGCTTATATCAAATTGAATGTGAATGTATGTAATAATAGTTCAAGTTATTCATGTATAAACTAAGGGTAATTTAAAATTATCAATAGAATTAATGTAGATATGTTCATCAGAGAATTACAATCAACAAATTTTTTGTAAATATATAATTAAAGCCATATTTAAGGCATTTTTCGATATCTTTTTTTGCATTATAGCCAGTAATAGCCATAATGGCAATTTAGTTTTAGACATGAACTTAATCTACAAATATTCTGATTTGTTTGGCATAATCCCATCCATTCATAATAAGGCATATTAATATCTATTATAGAATCTAATCTTATCTCCTATAACTATTATAGTTTCAGATGGCAATTCTATGTTGAGATTTAGTTTCTTTTCATAACATTAAACCTTGATTAAATCTACACATAAATTAATTAAACTATTCAAATTAATCTTCTAATATATCTCTGTAATCAAAAAAATCATATAATTTCAACTACATTAAATTAATATATTTAGTGACAATCCTAAAGTTTTATAAAGTTCCTATATATTATAAATTCTCTCATAAGCTTCACTTATATAGCCATTAACTGTATTTAAACTAGTTCTTAATTCATGAGATAAAGATCTCATAATGGTTTTCTTGACCTACTTTAACTTTTTTATTGTATATTACAAAAGTATAAGACTTAATTCATTTATACAATATTTTTGATAATCTTATTCCTCATTTAAAACATCGCTTATCGCTTATTTATAGAATCAAAATACATCATTTTTTAATTCTTCTAGATTTAAATTCCTTATAAAATCAATTTGTTATTATTCTTTGCTCTAATTATTTATAGATTATGTTTATCTACCACTTATTAATTTTATACTAATTTCTCAAATAACTAATTAGAATATATATTTATTTAGTATTCTAATCTAAAATACAAACTGCACTTGCCATTTACTCTATTATAAATATTCTCATTCAAATAATTTTATTTTTTTATCTTATAAATTCTATTATAGTAACTTGAACTTTTAGATATAATTAGCAATAAATTCAAAGATTTGCAACTTCTACTGTTAACAAGATATAAATTATAATCAAGTAATATTATACTAGAAAGTAAATCTATATTAATCAAAGAATAAGTAAATGCATATAATTATGATATCAAACATTATAACATGTGTTAATTGTACAATATTATTCATATTTTCTAATTTATCCTTTACCAATTTTGATTCATATTAATAAATAATAAAAGGTAGAAAGAATGGTAATTAATCAGGTTAATTAAAAATAAAGATTTTTCAAAAAAATTTTATGACTATAAGTTGATGCTAAATAGAGAAATGAAGATTATATTAAGCGACTGAATTAAAAGAACAAAAAGTAAAATGATTTTAAAATTGTTCTTTAAACATAAAGATTGAAACACAAATGTTTATTAATATTTAGTTCAATTTTAAATAGAAAATAATTGATATAAAATTAGTTTAAAAATAAAATGATAAAATGAATGATATTTAGAAGAATAATAAAAGTTGATAATAATGTAAAAAATATATTTAAATAAGCATGATGATGAAATATCTATTTTCTATTAGATATTTAGATAATATGAATAAAAGGTTGCAAAAAATAAAGTTCTAAAAATATATGAATGAATTATAGATTAAAGGATTTATGAATAATTTTTTGAATGATTAAAAAATCAATAAGAAATAGATTTTTATAAACCCCGCAAAAACCTTTTTTAATTTTTTAACGATCAAATATAAAATTATGTTCTAAACAACTAGCAGTATAAATTCTTAACAATCTCCTAATAGATTTAAGTTCAAGTCTAAAGTCAGGTATTTAGTTGATATGAGTTTAGTTTTTTTAATGACAATATGATGCCAGCTACGACAACTAAGATTACAATGTAATACAAAGAGTAATTGAGAAATATGTTATCAACATTATAAGACAAAGCATCATTTGCTAATTTAAGTGAATTTGATTAGTTGAAGACAAATCAAATAGGTGTTTCAATATAAAGTTGTTATAATCCAAAGTTTAAAAGTACAGGAGTAGATGAGACAAAGGATGCATTTTAAGATCTATTAGATGAAATAAAACAAACAATAAATAGAAAGTATTGATTCTAATAAATAATTCTTAGATTTCCATTCATTAAAGTGTTTCATCAATAAATAAATCATCCTGACCATTATTTATAGATTTAATTATTTTAACTAGATGTTCATTAAGTTGTGTTATATTCTCGTTAATATTCAAAAGAATAAATCACTCCTAAATTAGTTGGAGATTTGGTATGGTTACATTTAAAGAAATTCAATTTAACAGTTAACATTGATTGTCCTATTAAAAATGTTATACCAGTTTGCGAAGAAGGAATCCAGAAAAGTATTTTAGATGGACTTTAAGTTACTGTCCGTTAGAAAGAAACATAAACTTTATAATCTGCATAAACTCCAACAAAATAAATTATAATTAGAACTTCTATTTGTTAATAAACTGGAAGTGCTTAGAAAAGTGCATCTAAATTAGATATTTATAAAAGTACAGAAAATATTAGAGATATGGAAAAATCAGTAAGAGTTTATTTTTCACCTACAAAATCTTAAGCTTGGATGACTTAAACTAATATATCATAAATTGATCTATCTGGTTAAAAATATAAACCTTAATCACCAGAAAAAAAATTCACAGTTAAATTATTTTCTTAAACTGTTCCAATTACTTGTTTTGAGGAAGCTAAATTTATTGATTTAGTTTAATCAATTAATTCATATGAAATTGAAATTAGTGGAAATTGTATATAAACTACTAAATCATAACTAAATGTTGATGAATTACTCGATGATAATACAGATACTGTATATGTATCTACTAGAGTGGAAAGAACAGACTTAATTAAATGTATTGTTAAAACTTCTGAAGATGCTACAGTTAATGTTACTAAAAACATTACTGAAACCATAACCTATGATAATAATGAATAAGCATTTATTTTTTATGGAAGAGATAAATAAGAATATATTATTGATGTTTCAAAAAAAGATTGTTTTTCATAAAAGAAAACTGTCTTTTTGTAAGGAAATACAGATGTGAAAATTGAATTTGATTTAGTAAGTTGTGTAGAAACTACTCTTTAATTTAGAGTCTATAATATTCTTTTAAGAAGTGGATAACATAAAGATATTGAAAATTGTAGATTAGAAGTATTTTAATCAGATTAAGCTGATCAAGAACCTATTATTGGAATAACAAATGAATAAGGTTTATTTAATTGTCCTGGGCTTATGTTTAAATAAGTTAGAGTACATGCTTAACGAAAAGGATTTTTATAAGTTTCTTATGATTTTGATGTACTAGCTAATTCAACTGGATAATTACTTAGCATTCCAATGATACCAGATTATTATAGTTTAATCAATTAGTACCATATTTTAATTTATGTTCCAAATAAAAATAATTTTTAACTTGATTACTCAATGATTTGTCCAGGTATATAATAATTTTTATAATTTTAGATGGAGTGAAAATAGATTCTAAAAATAGATCACATAATGTAATGAAATCAAAATTAGAAATTAATAGAATAAATCAATAAACTATGTTATGGAATTTTTCTGTTCATGTATAATCATTAGATCCATTTTTATCTGATAATTGTTACTAATTTTTTATTAATAACTAAAAACCTAAGCGAACTTTATTATGTTAAGAACCTTTATCACCATAATGTAAAGAAAATAATGGTAATACTTCAAGTAAGGTTTCATGTTTTAAGACTGTAAATTTAAATGAAATGTTCTTAAAAACAAGAGTAATGTAAAGTGAAATAAAAACATTTGTAAGATAAGAAAGTGATGTAATTGCATAAAAGATTAATAATTTTTGTGCTGAAGAATCTGTTAGAATATTTGTAACATTTGGACATAAGATTTTAGAAACATTTATGATATAAACAAATTTACTTATGTAAAATGAAAAATGTTTTGGAGTAATTGATTGTAATAATTAATAAATTAATTAATTTAGTGGATAAGAGATTATTTGTAAGAGATAATGATAATACCTAATAAAATATAAAGAGGAATCTATCTAAAATGCCAACATTTAAAAAAGATATGAAAATAGGAAATGAAGATCGTACTATGACAACTATCTTATCCCATATAACAAATTAAAAGTTCTAAGAGTGACAATTATATATGAATATAATTTACTTATGATTTAAAATATATTTTTGAATCTTGATTTATCAATCACTTGAATGTGAATTAGAGCTTGAAGAAGAACTCTTGCTCTTGCTCTTGCTCTTTCTCTTTCTCTTTTTTGATTTTTTCTTTTCACTACTCGAAGAGGAAGAGCTAGAAGATCTATGCTTTCTTCTTTTTTTTTTCTTCTTTGAATGGCGCCTAATGTCACATGTTCTTATACCTGGAGTCAGAATAAGATCGTCTATTTAAACGACAATTTCGAGCACTAATATTATATAAATAATATTTTATACAAATGCCCCTATTTTCCACATTAATAACAGGCTCCATCTTTTTTCTTTGCTCGTGCTAACTCTACAATCAAATTTCTTCCATTCATCTCCTATTAATTCATCAATCTAACAGCATCTGCTGCCTCTTCAGGCTTGGTATAAGCCTGCCACCTAATGCCAACTCCCACGTCTTACGATAAAACAAAAACGTCCTTTCCATGAAAATTCTTATATCTCTCCATGTTTTGCAAAAGCACTCTTTATATCCATTTCTGATTCTTTAGCTGAATATCCTGTCACATAAATCCGATTTGCCTCTTCCTTTTTTTACTAATCCGAATCTGATGACATATATTAATTATTTTAATGATATTTATTTATCTCAATCATAATCAAATAGAAGTATTTTTTATTTAATTTAAAAATAATTTATTATTTAAATATTTATATTTTTATAGAAAAAAATGGAGTATCGTATTTTCTCAAAATAAATAAACTAATTCATCTCAAGAATCATCTCTTTTAAATGAAGGAGATATTTCTTTACCATCATTTTCATCATCTCGTTACTATTCATTATTATCATTATTTTAATCTTCTATATCCTCTAAAATTTGATTATTCTATGTAATCTATCTATTTGGATTTACATTTATTTAAGGGAAATTTTTAGCATTACACCTGATTAGATCATATAAACTTTTATTCAATTTTGTAAATTATAATAGTTATTTATTTGCTTATTTATTTATATTTTCGTTTTTGAAAATCTTTTCATAATTCAAATTAAGATTCTTAGCATCAACTAATAATTATGATTTAAAGAACCAATTTATTTTAGCTAATCTGGTATTAATTGGAACTAAGAATAAAATTTATGTTACTATTGGAAAAATCAGCCTATCTAATTTATTTAGAGTTTAATAATCCAGAATTTATACTTGCACTCATCTTTGATTATAATCTTATTATTATTATTATTATATATACTGATTTGCCATTTATTAATTTAAAATTGGCTAGGCAACTCCTTATTAATTTGGATCTCCTAATCTCAATATTTCATCAATTTCTAAAAAATTCTTCTTTTATTCTTCAATTTAATCAGTAAATACTGGAGAACTAAACGCATTAAAAATCATCAATTAATCATCATCAAATAAAAATAATTTTAGGCAATCTATTTCATATAGCTTTTTTAAAATATTTGATAGATCTAAATCATATTCTATCTTTTCTTTAGCTATTTAAGAAATAATTAATTCTTCATCTTCTTATCCATCCAAAAATTTTTTAAAACAATGTTAAATCAAATACTTAATATATTTAAAAAATGAATAATTTATTGTTGGTTTTAAAATCTAATTAATACATAATTTAAAATACCTATTCTAATTATTTTTCTTTATCTTCTATTGTTGGATTAGTAACATGTTAAAATGTCTTTGAAGTTTATTTTTTAATTCTTCTTTTTTAAATACTTGTAATATCAAACTTAAAAATTTAATTCATAAGCACTTCACAAGTTTTATGTTAACTATAAAACTTATAAAAGAATTTGATAATCTACATGGCGGCAAATAATAAGGCTGTTCCTTCTGATACAGCAGATAAAATAATAGTAATTAAATCTTATTAAATAACAAAAAAATAAGAAGATTCAGGAGAAACTCTATTTTTATTAATAAATTTGTTACCTTAAATAAAAATTACATAAACTTGTGGATGGAGATAAAGAAATTGGCTCTTATCTACTTTCTTATTTTTCAACGATTAAACCATTGAATAGTTATTCTGTTTCTTCTACTCCAAACATATCATAAAAAAATTGAATTCTTTCTATTATAATTGTTCAAATATATAAATACTAATATCTAAAGAAATTGGTTTCAAATAAACATTTTCATGATTTCCCAATATAGTCATTAATTTAGAATAGACCAGAACTGGACTTACTTCATCTGGAGTGATTGGATCAAACTTTTTCTTAATTTTTGAACCTCTTATGAACAAATTTACATTTATTCTATTTTAAATATAATTTTAAAAAAATACTACCCTTATTTTATCATATCTTCAATCTCTTAAATAGTCTTACAATGCTAACTCGTTCCATTTTTGCATATTTCAACTGCTAATTTTATATATTAAAATTAAGGATCATTGTATTATCCTAATAATTCAAAATCTCCTTAAAAACATATTAAATTTTGTTTTTGTTCCTCTGTTATAGATGCAGGATTATAATTGAATTTTTTTAAAGTTTCTTATGAACATTTTTCTTATGTCATTGAGCTATTTTTTCGAGTAAATCCAAAGATTCCTTAACTTCTTGATTATTAAATAAACTATGCATTAATTGTAAAATAGCTAAATGATATTATCTATTTATTTACTTTGAAAGATTAATCTTGTTGTTAAATATCGATCCTTAATCTGAATTTAACTCAAGTGCAAACATTGTATTATTTTCGCTCAAAATCAAGTCAGAAAACTCTTCAGATTTAGTTCCAGCATAAATTGAATTCTAATTTTGATTTTATCGATAGACAATTTCCACTATATAAAATAATGTAAATATTAGCATTAATATGCTAACGATCCCACCTAAATAAAAATAAGTTTAAACCTGCTAAAGTTAATGATTTCTCCTTCTCAGATGTATTAAATTCATATGGATCAACTAAGAGATCAACTTTCTTTATCAAATCTTTAATCATAAATATTTTTATAAATGAAAAATACAATATATTGTAACTCCGTAAATTTGCATTTTTTAATTAAAAATTTATTAAGAAATAAAAAAATATTAATAAATTTATACTTAAATATTAAACTATTGATTCTAATTATAAAAATATTTCTATTAAGAAAAAACATTACTATATTCATTTTCTAAATATTAAGCAACTAGAACATATATTAGAATGATCTATTAAATTTATTAAAAATATAATATCTTTGTAATAAATATAAAATTCTACCAAGAAATTTTAAATGTTTAAAAAATCAGATCAATTCGATAATCATTTTGAAAAAAGTCATTAATATATTAAATATCAATCTTAATAACGTAAATCCTGTGTTATAAAACTATGTACATAAGCATTTTCCATTAATCGTTCAAATGGAAATAATATCAAGATTTTTTTATTATCTGAATATTACTTTTAAGCGTTTTAAATCATGACTTTTGCAATTAATAGAGTCATGCTTGCTAAAATATTTGCTAAGATAAACATTAATATATTCAAATCAATAGTTTATGCAATCAATTTTTTAACTTCACTTTATAAAATCTCTATAATAAGTTAAAAACTAAATTATGAGTAAAGTCTCTCCTTTTATATATTAACTTCCAAATAATGTGAAAATTATGATGTTTCATTTTAATTTATGGAATTCATATCCTGAACAATATCATAGTAAAAATTAAATAATTCCTAAGAAACATATAACAAACCTTTTTAAAGGGAAGGTACAGATTGACAATCTTTAAATGAAAATAAATTCTAATAATTTCTATCCTGTAACAATCTAACAAAAAATTATAGAATTTTACATTTCTTCTTAAAAAATAGTACAAACTTCATCTAATAATAATTTATTAATTAAACTATTAGATTATTCTTATTATAATGTAATTTTAGTTATAAGAGATTTCAACTCTTCAGCAACTCTATTTTAATATTACATCATTTCTTAAGTAATTGGTTTATTGTAGAAGACTGCTTAGTGAGCATAAGCAAATGCTAAGTGATTTGCGGTGTTTTCATAATATGTTCTCTTTATATAATTTGCTTAGATTTGATCAAGTACTTAATTCTACAGTAAAAATGTTCCAAAATAGTATGATGAACTAAAAGCAGTAAGCATAAGCATCATCAGAGAGAAAAATATTAAATTTTCATTAATCTCTAAATTTATTAATAAATTTTATACATGGAGTTGATATTTATTTGCCAATTTTAACTTGATTTTCTAAATTTCCTTATGTTGAATTTTTTTAAAATTAACCAGCCATTGATGCTTCAAATGATTCCTCGTTAGTTTCATTGCATTTAAATTTAGTATGGTTGATTTAATTATATAAGGAATGAAACTAAATAAATTGATCCTTTACAAAATCTTTTGATAAAGTGCAAAATAATTTATAAAATATTATTTTCATTCTTAAGATCTAAATGTAAAAATAGGCATAACCTGAAAGAAGTAAAAATAACACAATTTCTTCAAGAATGAAGCTTAAATATAAATATAATTATCATACTAAGTAAGCAAACTAGAAATCTATGAAGGAGAGCTACTTCCTTCAACTTTATCTAATAAATCATGAAATGCATAAGAATTATTTAAGAAATCTGAAAGAAAAAGATTTAAATTGGTTTCATAAATACCTAACATTTGTGATAAAATATTTGTGGTTTTTCTTAACATTGTTTGTTCAGTTTTATTATTATTTATTTAAGGCATATGTGTTACTACTTGATCAATATATTATTAATGTTATTAGTAATAATCTATTGAAATTTTACATAGATCTTCAAATTAAAATTCATCCCATTATTATTATTAATAAACATTAGCTATAACAAATTCATTATAATAATAAGAGAATTGATAAGGTAAACTTTCGAAATCAAGATTGCTGTCAATTCTGCGAAAATTATAAAATAAAATGCAAAAGTTTAAGATATACCCTATAAGTAATAGAGAATAAAATAATAATAAAAATATCCTGATTTTAAAATTTAATCCTTTATTATTTTACAGACAATCTTTTATTTACAATCTAAATGTATTGCTGTTATTCTATGAAGATTTACTTCCAACAGATCCATTATATTATTATTATTAGAATAATTGTTCTTATTAAAATTATTTCTATTCAAACTCTTCACTTCTATAAGAGATAACATTTTGGGGCATAATAATTTTAGTTTCTGAAACATTTTCACATTGTTATTATTATATTTATTATTATTAAACTAATAATTCTTTAGAATTATTTTAGATTGTATTATTCATAGAAACTGAGGCCAATTAATTTCTAAATTCTTCTATCATTTTTTTTTCTTCTATTAAATTATCATACTCTAAATCGCATTCATTCATTAAAGTTTTAGTTAAAGGAGGAGTATTTAAATGAGAATGCATCCCATATGATTTATGAGTTGGTATTTCTGATTGATATGTGTTATTCATTGACGTTTTAGGAGGCTAGGCCTAAATTAATTCCAATTAACTAGCATATTATTTATTAATAGCTTATCTATATTCTGGAATTTCTACTATTACTACTCTATTTATAATAATATCAAAACATTACCTTAAATTTATTGTTGTTAGACTTGTAAGATGAAAATTAATTTAATATTTAATAAGATTTTAAGGATAGTTTTTCATATACTCTTAAAGTTTTTTATTAAATTGCTATTTTTTTCCATAATTCATTTAGAATAAAGGGGAAACAGTTTATTTTTCAATTACTGGGATCATTAAGTAACCCTCTAAATAAAGATCTAATTTTTCAAAGTTCTCATCAAATAAACTCAACCATATCTTTGATAATTCAGGAATCATTAATAAAAAATCTAAACCTCTAACTAACTCAAATTCTAATCCTAAATATTATTTAAATATATCTTCATATAAATTTTTTGTTATCTCTTCTATTTATCCTTATTCATTAAGCATTAAATAACCATATGAATGATTAACAGGAGTCATAAGAGCTTAAGCTCCAAATTCAAAAGGATTTACTTCTATTCTTAATCTAGTATTAATTGGAATCACAAATTAGGATTTTAATTTTACTAAAATTATTCTTAATTCTCTTTTTAATACATTAATTCTTCCTGTTTCAACAAAATTATTTAAATATAAATCATGATCATTAGCTATAATAGATGGTATAAACTTTTTTATATTTTAATCTAATATTTCATCATCTTTGCATTAAACTGCTTATTAAAAAGATCTTGTGTATCTAATTACATTTCCTCGAGGTTAAAGTAAAGTAATTTAAACCACACAACTTTTTTAATCATAAATTATTTTATCTAATGATTAAATAAATTCAGCCATTAATTAACCTTCTCTTCTATATAATTTTGGCCTAATTTTATTATAATTTATATATTTTTAAAATAACTTGTAAATTGTGTCACACTCTCCATTTTAGGGATTTGTTCTAAATATAAGTTAAATCTAATCTTCTAAATGATTAATATTAGTCACTAAAAGCATTCCTTTCTCTTAAAGTACCTATGCATTTATTATTGGAGAAAAAAGAGCTTCATAAAATTCCTAAATTTATAAAAAATTTTTACTATTTCTTGTTTTACAATAAGATATAAATTTTGCTTTAAGACTTTTAAAGATTCTTCGAATAAGTATGCTTTTTTAAAATCAAACATTTGATTTACTAAATTTTACTTTTTAACTAATTAGTTAAATTTTTAAAGAGAATCTTATTAAAGTTAATGTATAATTTATTAAAATCTCAAAGAGAGCTATTTTAAAATATATCTATACCTTTTCTAGAGTTGATACTCTAATTACTTCATAAATAGCTGAAATTGGTGCCTTTTTTATTTCTGTTAAATAGCATATATATGTTAATGTATTTTAAATACTTGAATCTTCTTTTAATTCATCTTCTAATACTTAACCCAATAACAATTTCAAAAATTCTTTACATTAATTAATAGATTAGAAAGAATATTTTTAATGGGCAAAAGTTGAACAAAAGCATTACTATTTAAAACTAGAACATTTTAACATTTTTCGTATCCTCATTTACTTACAATTCTCTAAATGGCTTCTCACTATTGTATATATCTAGTATATTTATTGTTAATCTTAATTTTCCTATCTTTTTTTAGATTAAACTTATTTTTTTGCATTCTAATATAATCTTCTTATAAACTATTTTTAATTTTTAAAGTCGTTTTCCCTTTCTGAGCGGGTAGATAATTAATGTATTAAAAACATCAATAAAGGGTAAATTAATAAAATTAATAGAGATGCACTCACCTTAATTTTTGGGTATCCAAATTCACATAAAATTAAGATCATTTAATAAAATACCATAAGAAAGTTAATCTTAAAAACAAGATTTATGATTCTATGATCTATATAGGTGTTTTATCTATAGTTATATATTGCCTATATACTACTAATTAATAATCCTAAACTTTGATTAATGATTGAATTTGATTAACTCCCGGATAAAAATATTATACTAATATTGATAAGAATTCATATTACAAAATCTTAGATGCATATATTATGTGATTTTCTAAACTGTGAACTTTACCCAAAAAATCGTAGTTTTTTATTCTATAATCTGTCTAATGAAAATGCAGGAATACCCCTACAATTATTTATAAAATAATTAGTATAAAGCTTATGAGCAATCCAACTTATTCAAATTCATTTAAACTTTCTACATTAAAATAATAAATACTAAGATCAAGAATATCAGTGATAAGGCTAACAGAACAAAAAAGTATTGGTGTTTATAAGACTTCAAGATTAATTTACATGTACCAAGAAATAAATGTAGACTGCCAACATTTCTCAAAATGATAATTTTATTTGTTCTAATAATATATGTATTAATTACCTAAGTTAGTGGTAAATCATTAAGAGTTAACTTTTATTTAAGGTATAAGTCTTAACGTAGCACAAAACAAATAACACTTAATAAAAATATGCTTTATAATGAAAATCCAACCATAACACAAATGATTCTTGCAGTTATTGAGTTTCCAAATAAAGAGTATATCCTAATACATATGATATTTTATTCACTTAAAATAATTGATCCAGGATTGAACTTAATTTGGAAATTGATCATACTAAATGGTATTCAAAGCATTTGTGTACACAGATAGCATTTAAAGATTTTCTAAAAATGCTAAAGCCACAGCCATTTTGAAAGTTTTTCTCTTTGATTCTTTGATAGATAAGAAGTCTTTAACATAAAATGCTTTTATTTTAAAAAGGAGCTTTTTCATTATTATAAAACACGATTAATTAATTAAAATGAATCTAAGTTTCGTACAACGATAATAAAATTAAATCAATCACAATAATTTGATCTTTATCTCTTGTTTCATTTAGATCATCTTCTTAATCGATTTACATTTATTTTAATATTTATATATTCAAACTATGGCTTTATATTAAATCTATCTAAAACTATTCTTAAATCCTTATCTGCCGAAACTTTGAGATCAACTTCAAATTTATAATCTCAATTTAATTCCATCCGAAAAATGTTTAATAGAAGCTAAACGAATAAACGGCAAAATATGGTTGCATAACTATTTTGAGCTGCAATAATATTTGTACTGATCACAATTTTTTATATTTATTTCTAATTTAAATCTAATTTTATAATTATAATTATTGTAAAATAAACTTTATGATTCATAAGACATTATATTCATTTTATATAAGTTTAAAGATATTTTAAAAAATTTAGTAATAATTTCAACTAGTTTATATTAATACATTCTAATATATTATATTAATATTATGAAATATAGTTTAAAGACAATAACGGCTTTTCTATTAATATTTTAATGAATAAGCATTAGTATCATGGATAAATATTAAATTCATACATTAATATTAGTTAATTATCATAAAATATTTAAAATAAATAAATCTTAGAAATTCCAAGTTTTTTCATTTTTAAAAAAGAGATTAGAAGTTTAAATTAAAAAATTAATTACTAATCGTTTTTTATTTATTTTAATTGTATATTATTAGAAAGAAATGAATCAAAAAAATCGTTATAGCAAGAATTATTGTAAAAATAGTATATTTATTTTAATCGAAATCTTAATATCAAAATATTGATTATGTATTCTGTAAAGATATTTATGTTCTTTAAAAATATATTAATATATTTGTCAAAGAATGTATAATTTAATGATATATAATGAATATAAAAAATTGATTATAATAATTATATAATAATAAATGTTACGATCCATTTAATAAGGATTCTCAAACTTGGCAAAAGCTAATCCTCTAAAAAATGGATTCCGATTTGAAAATTAAAATCTGACTTGGACTTTTGGAGAATTTGATGTAATGATCATTAATATAATGAGACTCATTCAAGTGCATTTGCATATGGATTAATTGAATAAGGATGGAAATAAGGAGACAAACTTTTATTCTTATTAGGCAGATCTAATACTAGTGAGACAGCTGCAGCTTTTATTGGAGCTGCAAAAGCTGGAGTAACAGTAATACCATTTAGATCTAATGATCCAAATGAAATTGAATAAACTATAGGAACAATTAATCCTAAAGGAATTGTGTTTTCTCCAAATTAATTGATAAGTGAAACGAAATTTATTGATATACTAAAGAAATTAGTACCAGAGGCTTGGCAAAGTATTATGTGATGATTAATAAAAGCATAATCTGGTTAGAATTTGAAAAGCAATAAATTTAGCAATCTTAAATGGTTAATTCATACTGGATTCTATTCTTATCCAGGCACTTATAAATTTAGAGTATAAGAATAATGATTATTTAGGAATCCTTAGTATATGCTTCAAGAAATTTTAATAGGCTTTCCCTTCCATAAAGTGCAGGTTCAATTGCAGCTATTTTAAAGAATGGATCATTATAAAATTATTCTTATTAAGATTTATTGAAATTAAGTGAAAAAGTATCTGGATCACAACATGTGATTGTATCTGGAGATCCTTAAACTATTTAAAATTTCTCTATAGGTAGACATAATTGATATTAGTAATAGTTGTTGGAGGATTAGAAAGAGGATATAATACAGTATTAACAGGAGGAGAGAAATTGAATAAAGTTTAAAAGATACTTTAATATTATGGGAATTATAGTCTTGTAGTTGATGATTCGGTTTTAGGAGATCAATAAGTTAATATTGATTAAATATATAGTAGAAGTTAGATTTTAGTAATCTAGAAAGTTTATTTGTTACAGGTGATGTCAAAAAGGCTTAAGATATATTCTAAAAACAAGCCCTTTCATTTTGATTTCATTAAATCATTAAATATAATTATTACATAGAAAATAAAAACTCAATGTTTCTTTGATTTATAAATATGTTAGTTACATTATTTATTGAATAAAATGATAGCATAAATAGGATTCTAAATTTATATATGGTTTAATAAGTTTTATAATTTTGCATATTGATTATAAATAATTTTTTGAAGGAATGGGGAATAGAAGTTCAAATAATCAGAATTAAAAAATTGGGCATGAAAGTAGGTGTCCTAATTGTGATCGTAAATTTGGATCATCTACTACTTATTAAGTTTTAAATTCTCATATAGATTAATGTCTATAACACGTTTAAGTTTAAAATATTATGGGATTTCAGATGCCCTAGACAAAAGTTCAATTAGGAGATAATTATATTTGGATTAAATAAAATGATAAATGGAAAAGAGTTTAATCATAAGTAAATGGTGGATAGATATAGGTATATATAAATTATATAAAAATAGAATTTAAAATCAATAGATATTCAAAAGAGATCCTTTGCTGAAAAATAAGTTTGGTTTAATATGTAACTAGAAAAATTTAGGATACCTTGGCAATTGGGATCAGATAAATTGATTGTTAATCATAATGATTTGCTTTCATCCTCACTTAATTCAGCTAGAGGAGTTGATTTTTATAAAGAAGTCAAAGTAGTATTTTAGAATGACAAAGTTTAAGATGCAGGTGGATTATTAAGAGAATGGCTTACTTTAATTTTCAAAGAAATGTGCAAAGACATATTTGTTCTAACTGAAACAAATGATGTTTCTTATAAAATTGCTAAACAAAGTATCTATTTTGATTTAGTTGGCTTGGCTATAGCTAAAGCTTTATTTGAAAGAATGACTATTTGTGTTGAATTAGACAGACCTTTAATTAAAAAACTGTTAGGATATCAAATTACGCTCTCAGATATATCATTTTATGATAAAAGTTTATATCTCAGTTGGAAATATCTTTTAGATAATTAATTTGATGAGAACCTATTGTAATAATACTTTATCATTTGTAAAGATGATGAAATTATTGAATTAAAATAAGATGGAGCTAATATATTAGTCAATAACGAAAATAAATAGGAGTTTGTTGATTTATGGTATTAATCTAATTAAAATTTAGTATTCAATTTTACACTGAAAAACTAATCTCCACTTAATTAAATTAAATTTAAACTAATTTATACAAATACATCCCATTAGAATATTTGAATATATTTACTGCTGAAGAATTTGAAATGCTTCTCTATGGAGTTTCAGTTGTTGATTTAGATGAATGGAAATAACATTCCACATATAAATAACCTTATTCTGAAAATAATTAACAAATAATATGGTTTTGGAAAATCTTATCTGAATTTGATTAAGATTAGTTAAAGAAATTCTTGCATTACTGTACTGGATCATATAGAATACCAGTCAAGTATTAATTTAATTATATTAAGTGGATTCAGCAAATTAGAATCTAATAGAGGAATGTACTCTAAATTTTAAATCACTCCAATTGAATTTAAAAATGCTAATTCTTTTCCGATTGCCCATACTTGCTTTAACAGACTTGAATTGCCAAAATATTCAACCGAAGAAATAATGAGGAAATATTTGAGATCTATTGTTTTAAATGATCTAGAAGGAGTTTTTGGAATGGAATGAAAATAATTTTATTATTAACTATATTGTTAGACAATATTTTTATGAATTCTCAATTTGCTTATTTAATTTTCTTTAACTTCTATCATTTAAGAATAATAATTATGTCCAATTATTATTCAAATTTTTTGACCAATTATTAATTGATATATCAAAATTCAATTGAATATATTATTTATTTATATATTTTTAATAATTAATTTCAGAATACCCTCTCTTTATTGACGAGTTCAGCATCAAAACATACATTCTATTGTATTAATTTTACTAAATTTCATTAATGTAAGTGTATATTTTAGAAAATTTCAGTAATAAAAAATTTGATTACTCAAAGGAATAATCTGATATAGATTTACAATTAAATTTCTAACTATGAATGAATTTATAATTATTATTTATTTCTAAATCGGATAATTCAAGTTCCACTAATTTCAAAAATTGCAAGCATAATTTTTAAAAAAATAATGAGTAAATAATATTTATCAAAGAAACTTATAAATTATAATATACTTGTTTAGATGTAAGTAAAATTAAAAACTATCCTCAAAACTAATACAAATATGATTAATAAAAATTATAATTTTCTTGTGATAAAAATTTAGAGAATAATGCCATTTCCAAAAAAATTATACTATATAATAATTAGTAATTACTTCTATCCTTCGAAATTTTATTAACTTGATAAAAATTTTCAATATTCTAAAATACAAGCAAATTACAAAAATAGATCATTATATATTTTCTCAAATTGAAATAATTATTATTTATGATTAATAGATAATATGTTAAAAAATTAGAATATTTAAATTCTACTTTAGTCTATTGTAAATAGTTAAAATTTTATAATTTACTACCTATTTCCTTTTTAAACTCAATATATATTACTTGTAATAGCTAAATAGAAGAATAAAAAAAATCAAATTTAAATTGTAGCCAAGAGTAATAATAAGTGGTTTGACTGTTTCAGTAAAATTGAGTTATAAATACGAAGTTTAGTTATTGCCTATAGGAATTAAGACGTTTAATATTGAAAGCTCTTTGATATCACACTATATGATACTTCCATTTAGCGATTTATTTTATGATGAAAATTAAAAAATAGAAAGCTTTAAGATCGAAATATAAAAGTATAAACTCATCTGAGAGAGCTTTGATTATTCATTATATTGAGTAATACAAGTATTCTACTTCACATGTAAGTCTATTTAATGAATTAATAAGGTCTCTATGATAACAGGACACAATGCCTCTACAATAAAAGCTATATATTAGATTTATAAAAAAGAGGGAAGAATAAATAAGAAAGTAAAAAGAGACAAGATTTTGAATTTAAGTTATGGTTTGATGTTGTTTGTAGTTGATGATATGTATATATTTTAATTATGTAGTAATGGAAACCTGACGAGAATAAGCATAGAATAACATGAAACTTAAAAATAAATTGTGGAAGAAGAGCAAGTTAACACTTCAAAAAGTTACGAATAATCCATAAAACAAGTTTTAGAATAAAATAAACACAAAATAGTTAGTTTTCTAGATAATGTAGAGGCTATAGATACATTTATAAAAGAAGTGAAAATCATATGTTAATAAGAATTTCCTAGTCAGCAATTTTGTAATTTAAGATTATCTTCATGTTTTAAAATAAATGACAAGAAAAATGTCGATTAGACAATAAAGAAAAATATTTAAAATTCCTTCTACAATCTCTCAGAAAATCAAGAGAATACAAATTCAGATGAGAAGAGTAAATCAATTGTTATTAAAAAACTTAATGAATAATATAGATAAATGAAAATGTGAACTTCTTATTTGATTATTCATAAAATTTACAAATCATTTAATTTCTAATTCTTCTTAATCACAAATAGTAAGAATATTATAATATAATTATCAATTAAATTGGAGGTGATGGATTATAAAATGGCTGGTTTTCGCTTTTAAGTATTCCTGGGTTATTCAAAAAAATTCAAAATTTGTATTAGAAAATTTAACAAAATAATTATTTTGAAATACTTGATATTGTAATATAATAACTTCTATAAATTTTTTATGCTCTTATTTTATAATTATTACAGTAAAAGTTCTAAAAATGTGCTTGATTTCATAATTCTTAATAATTAATTTAGAAAAGAAATTTTTATACAAATTCTCCAGATTTATGCAAAAATCTTAAAGAATATTAAACAAGAATCAGAATTAAAATTATAATCAAAAAACTAATAGAAAAAGATTAGTAAAAAACTTAATAAAATATTGTAATTGATTATTTAATTATTTTTTGTATAAAATTTAATAATAAATTTTGATCATCATTTTTCAACTTTAAGTTCACCAGAATTGATTTTTCCTATAATAGTCTTAACAGTTTATCCATCAACAGTGGCACCAAGAGATTATGCAGTACCTAAAACTTATTTAACTGTTCCTGTAAATGTTTTTGCAAGAGACTTTTCTTCAACAGCTCTAGCTACTTTAACAATCTATTCTAATGTTAGATTTCCATTATGTTTAACATTCTTTGTTTTTTTTCTATCCCTTTCATATCCCTAAATAAATTAATTTATAAATATTTATACTCCAATTTCTTTGATTAATAATGCACTAGAAGTTGGTATGACTGTAACATCTGCATTTCTGTTTTAACATCTTAAGTTAACCATAACTCTGATGCCTTTCCATTTTCCCCTTTCAAGAATAATTTTATCACCAACTTATTTAGGATTCTGTATTTATATTTTAATTCAATAATAATTATAAGACCTAGAGGACCTAATTTAGGTGCTAGTATTGAAGCAGCTCCACCTTCTCCTCCAAAGACTTTAATGTTAATCAATCTAACTTCATTTGGGTCAACTTTAGGAGGCATTAAAAAAAAAAGATTTATATTTTTTAATGTTTTATAATTAAGTAATTTAGAAAGGAATTCAATGATACTAATTTCATTTTGAAATTGAAAAATGTAAATGAATATTATAATTTTGGAAGAATTATGATAATAATCTTTTTTCATTAAAAAACAGCCAATCTACTTTATCTAGTTCTAGTAATTATCATAGAACGAACTGAATTTCTATCACTTTATACAACAGTTTGGCCTTGATGACTGAGAATAAAAGTATTTGATGTTTAATTTCTTGATTTAAAAGTTCTAGGTATATATTCTACATCATTTAATGTATCTCTACAAACTGGACATGTCAATTATTTTTAAATCCATTATTTTAAACAATTATCATGCATGATATGTTTACATGGTGTTTATCTACACTATCTATTATCTAATGGATCTAAACATATTACACAATCTTAATCTTTGACTGGATTAACTATAGGCATTAATTAAATAACAATGTTATCTGATTAATCTTCTTAATTTTCTTTAAATTTAGTTTATGATAAATATTGACACCTTCTTCTAACTATATATATTATTATCAATAATATAATAAAAGAAATTACACTTAATATTGCTACTAAAATAAAGTCCTAAAATTTTTAATCATTATCCAGTAATTCATATTTAAGTACCATATCTTGTTTTTAAGAATTTGTATTTTTTAATACTATTATAAAAGAATAGTAACTGGCTTGTATATGATATTTTTCAAACTTACTAGAATAATTAATCTCAGCAGGAGTGGATGACAATTATCCATCATAAATTAATTTGTCTTCAATCAATTTGGATGAAGGATATTCAAAAGGTTAAAGTAGATATATCTTTGAATCTATAGAGAAGGATGACTGAATTTGGAGATTTCTTGTCAAACTCAAAATTTTATAAATTAGTACTCCTAATCATCTAATAGTTGAGCTTGTAAATAAAAAGCTGCAATAATTAAGGTTTATTGAGATTTTAGGCTTTCGGAATATTGAGTTCGATTATATAATTAAACAACTTAAAATTGGCATCTGTCTCTTAATATTAATAATTAACATTACCCAGTACTCATAACTTAACAATGGCATTGCATGTTTTAACAATCTCCATTATTTGAACAATTTGTTGGACAAGTTCTTGAAGGTACTTCGGTAATTGTAACATTACTGTCTGGTAATGTAAAAATATCCAATTTATATTATTATCCAATTTTAAGTTTGTAATACATATACAAATATTGTGTACTGTCTTATGCTATTTCACTCATTATAACTTAGTTTTCTGCAATTTCAATTTTCATATTAAGCCAATCATCACTAAATATTTCAATCAGCAAATAACTCTAGCTGGCTTAAAACTCCTTTAATAAGCTATTTACAAATAAAGCATAAAGGAATAAGCAAAATAACTTATACATAACTAATTTATAATATTAATATTCAAGAATACAAAATTATTATATAAAATTATATCATAAAGAATATCAATTCAACGACAAATGTAAATGAGGATCTTAAATTCCATTTTCTATGTTTTCTAACATTTAATTTCTCAAGCATCGCAAAGCATTTCTAATATCTTTGCATTTTTTGATAACTATTTGAGATAGAATTGGAGCCAATTAATATAATGCTCTATCATCTTCTTCTCCATACCAACTTTAAATACAAATACCATTTTCTGGTTAATGTTAAAAGTTTTCAGCCATATTATCAATTATTATAGTAGTATTTAAATCTCTACCAACAAATGTTAAATCTTTAACATGTGTTCCATCTATTAATGTAGTGTGTTATCTGTACAATCTATGAGAAATAACATTGCTTTTATCTATTAAATCTAAAATGAAATCTGCATAATCTTGTAATGCTGCTGTGAATATAACTATCTCATAATATTTACTCATTTCAATTAAAAATTATTCAGCATAAGGTCTAACTAAGAATTAACCATCATCAACTAACTTGATCAATCATATAAAAATACTTCTTAATAATGAACTAATGTTTCATCTAAATCAATCACTAAAGTATAACCATAGTATTTTGGTAAGTATGGTATCTTTAATTCTAAATGTTTCTCAATCTCTTCTTATTCAAGGGTTTTTTCAGTTTCATTAGTATCTATTGTTTATCTCAAATTATTTATCTCCGAAATCACCTTATCGAATTATTACTTAATAAGCATTGTTCCTTATTATAAAGAAATTTAATCAATATTTTATAATAATTTCTCTAATCTTGCACATTTTAGATCTGTAGAATTTTCTATACTAATATTATAATTTAAATTATTACAATAAGATTAACAAAGAGTGAACAACATTTGCATGCTTCTTTAATTAAGTAATATCCTAGACAGATTTATTTGCTCTTCTATTTTATTTTATCTTACTTAATCGATTTTATAGAATGTTCTTTTAATCTGCTGTAAGATTTTATTTGATTAAAAACTCTAAATAAATTATCATTCCATTGTGTATATAAAGTAGAAGATTCTTAATATGTTATAATTCGTCATCATAATTTTCAGTTAATCCCTATACCATAATTACAAAGATTCCCATTCTTTCCAATAGCATCTACTTGCAAACTATTTTCTATTATATTATATCTTTGCAATCTCCTTAAGACTAAGGAATAGCATTCAAAAAATTTTAACATAATTTCACAACTTTTCTTTATTTACTAACTACTGCTAAAATAGTAAAAACACACTCCTCCTGATTAACTAAATTGATCAAATATTATTCAGTGTAATCAGAAGTGGGTGTACATTAAGTTGAAAATTTAGATTCTTCTGTTCTTTACTTGAGAAGTTTTGATTTCTGTTTCTAGAAATTTTTTTAAATAGATGAATCAGAAAATTTTTGATGGATTTAATTATATATTTTTTTTAGCGATTCAGGCATTTAGTAAAGTTTAGTAGGTGATATAGATCTCTATGAAGTATTTTGATTACTTGTATCTAATCTAATCAACGATGCTTTTGGATTTTAGATATCTTAAGAACTTTAACGCTTTGATAGCATGTCACTTATGATTGAGTTGATTTTATTAGCTGATTATTTTTTGCCCGAAGTGAATGATTTATTCGTATATTTAACTTCTTAATCATAATGGTTTCTGTTTACTCTTTCATTTAAAGGTGTTCTTTTAGATATCATTTATCTTAAATTTGTTTTACTATTCATCAGTTAAATTAATTATATATATAAAAAGCAAAGTTCAATCTATTTTTGTTTTGGTTTAGATGGTTTTCTTCTATTCCATTTTAATTGCCTTATTCTTTGCTGATAAGAATTCCTCTCTTTTGAGTAAAAGGTGAACCCTATTCGGTTCATCTTGAATTATTTCATCAATTACAAATTTGATTCCAATAACGATTTATTTGACAACAATAAAAATAAAAAGTTTCTAAATTCAAGCTAATTTAATTAATTTGAATAAATCTATCTAATCATTCGAACTATCTGAATCTTCTCCTATCAAAACATTTAATTATTTTTAATTAACTTAATAAATTGATAAAAATTTGATCTTTCTACACCCCTACGCTTTTTTTAGTTCTGCTAATGGTCTTTTTTGGCAAATTTTCTATAACCATAAAGAAGGTCCTCTATTTTGAAAAATTAAAAAATACAATTGCAATAGGGGTGATCTAAGATCTTGCAATAAATATATGTAGCTACCAAAAATTAATCATCTAATTAATAAATTCATAAAAATGATATAATGATTTATAAAAAAGGTAAATTTTTCAACATGATTTTGAGAATCAATATTTCATTTATTTAATTCAATTTTTATTAAAAAAATTATTAAGTTGATGATCCTTTATCAAAGGATTTATTGATAGCACTGGTTTCTTTATCAGAAATGTTTACTCTTTACATAGAAGATAATAGTTTAATATGGTTTTATTTAAATTGTTGACATCCCAATTAAATTTAATTTTGATAAAAAAAAATTTAAATGGAAGAAAAGTATATCATACTTAATGAACAAGAGACAGTGATATTTTTAGTAAATCTAATTCATTAGAATCAAGTCGAATGATGCTTTTATAAAATAATCAACCAAAAAGAATTAGAAAAGTGAATGCAAAAACCTTTTAAGTTAATTAACGCTTTCTTTTTCATCCTAATATTAATGATTTTCATAAACTAAAGTATATTTTGAAAAGAATTTAAAATTTCATAAGTAGTGAGAGAGTTGAGACTACTGTTTTATTTATATAGTTTCGTTTATTTTCTCTTCCAAAATTCAAAAAATATAAACTTAAAGAAAATTAAATTATATTCTCAGCAATTTTAAAACAATTATGAATTAATTTGAAAAACTAATTGTTTTGCAAATTTCCCATTAAAACCATCAAGCTAATTTTAATTTATTTTTTTATAACTTTATTTCTTATTTATGGTTGCTTATTTTATATTAATTAAGTAATCAATAATTTTTTTTACTTTTTATCTTAAAGCAATTATTTTATTTTCATTCATCAATATATTTATTTTCTTCTCAGAGCTTTTTTAATTAATTTTACTTTTCCAGAAATTTAATAAAATTTAATTTCAAAACTTAACAAAAATGTGTATAGATTTTATCTAGTTCAAAAATAAATGAATCTTTTGGAAATAAAAATTCTAATCCTCAAAAAATTTATAAGCTCAACGATTTTACAAAATAAATTTTAGCCTCATCTTTAATTCCATAAGAAATCAAAAATTTTTGGCAAATACAGTAAAAATGCTCAAAGCTTGATTAAATATGATCAATGTTAAAAATTCATCTTCTTACATTATTATTTTTACTAAAGTTGTTGTGATTTAACAAATAAATCTAAAAATAGTACAAAATAGTAGATTTGAAAGAGATATAAGTTAAATTAATTTCGAATATATATTCTATGTTGTAACCTAATTAAATCGTATAAAATGAGAAGAACTATGATTAGAATAAAAATATTTTCAATTCATTTCGTTAATAATATTTAATCATTATTTTTAAGTTTTTCATCCTCATAAAAATGGGACATTGATGTATTTACATTGAAAATATCAATATTTGGAGATTTATGAACATAGCGATATTAATTTAATTATTATAACAAAACATGTTTACCACTAAATCGTAATTTTATTAAGCTAGCTCAACAGGGCGGTTTCAATTTAAATTTAAACCAAGTGTTGAATTAGGAGGATTTCCTAGTTTGACGCCTTGTAATACTGACAAAAGATTGACAAGACTAGATTGGTTTGCTGGTCCATCAGATCAGTTGGGTAACCTATATTTCTATTTTGCTTTAGAAAAATAAAAAAAGCATTGCGCATCCAAAGAAAGCAAGCATCATGAAGATTTATCGATAGGAAAGCGAACTTTTATTTAAGCAAATAAAGAAACAGATGGATTGGTTAGCTTAGAGGAATTAATGTAAAGAAAATCTCGAGTGCCTACTTTTGAATAGAAGAGGAATCTGTAAGAATTATTAGTTAATTCTAAGAATTCCAGTTCATTTCTTAGGAGATAAGAATTATCCCTATCCAGAAATAGAGCCAAACTTTTATAAATAAGATGATGGTCTTGTCGCAGGATCTNTATATAGTTTCGTTTATTTTCTCTTCCAAAATTCAAAAAATATAAACTTAAAGAAAATTAAATTATATTCTCAGCAATTTTAAAACAATTATGAATTAATTTGAAAAACTAATTGTTTTGCAAATTTCCCATTAAAACCATCAAGCTAATTTTAATTTATTTTTTTATAACTTTATTTCTTATTTATGGTTGCTTATTTTATATTAATTAAGTAATCAATAATTTTTTTTACTTTTTATCTTAAAGCAATTATTTTATTTTCATTCATCAATATATTTATTTTCTTCTCAGAGCTTTTTTAATTAATTTTACTTTTCCAGAAATTTAATAAAATTTAATTTCAAAACTTAACAAAAATGTGTATAGATTTTATCTAGTTCAAAAATAAATGAATCTTTTGGAAATAAAAATTCTAATCCTCAAAAAATTTATAAGCTCAACGATTTTACAAAATAAATTTTAGCCTCATCTTTAATTCCATAAGAAATCAAAAATTTTTGGCAAATACAGTAAAAATGCTCAAAGCTTGATTAAATATGATCAATGTTAAAAATTCATCTTCTTACATTATTATTTTTACTAAAGTTGTTGTGATTTAACAAATAAATCTAAAAATAGTACAAAATAGTAGATTTGAAAGAGATATAAGTTAAATTAATTTCGAATATATATTCTATGTTGTAACCTAATTAAATCGTATAAAATGAGAAGAACTATGATTAGAATAAAAATATTTTCAATTCATTTCGTTAATAATATTTAATCATTATTTTTAAGTTTTTCATCCTCATAAAAATGGGACATTGATGTATTTACATTGAAAATATCAATATTTGGAGATTTATGAACATAGCGATATTAATTTAATTATTATAACAAAACATGTTTACCACTAAATCGTAATTTTATTAAGCTAGCTCAACAGGGCGGTTTCAATTTAAATTTAAACCAAGTGTTGAATTAGGAGGATTTCCTAGTTTGACGCCTTGTAATACTGACAAAAGATTGACAAGACTAGATTGGTTTGCTGGTCCATCAGATCAGTTGGGTAACCTATATTTCTATTTTGCTTTAGAAAAATAAAAAAAGCATTGCGCATCCAAAGAAAGCAAGCATCATGAAGATTTATCGATAGGAAAGCGAACTTTTATTTAAGCAAATAAAGAAACAGATGGATTGGTTAGCTTAGAGGAATTAATGTAAAGAAAATCTCGAGTGCCTACTTTTGAATAGAAGAGGAATCTGTAAGAATTATTAGTTAATTCTAAGAATTCCAGTTCATTTCTTAGGAGATAAGAATTATCCCTATCCAGAAATAGAGCCAAACTTTTATAAATAAGATGATGGTCTTGTCGCAGGATCTAACATCAAACATCGATTTCGACATCCTTTCAAGGTATCCAAAAAGTTTCATGGTTGAGTATTTGATAAAATCATATTTCATCTACTTGAAGATAGCAATTCTCATTCTAGAATTAGAATTAAATTTGTAGCAAACATATTAATTGTAAAATTCTTCAAAAATAATCTTTTTCTGAGTTTTTAATTTTGTAGAGTTTTTAAGTTAGTAGATTCCTCTTATAAAAACATCAAACAGAACAATAAACTTTGGCTTAAATTTTCTATTATCAAAAAAGACTTGTTATATTAATATATTTTTTTAATAAGAGCCTTTTATAATTAAATTATATTGAGAATGTTTTTTGAATTTTGTGCTAAGCAGAATGTGAATGATATTTAAAGTTAAGGATGATTTTTCTTAGAAATGTTAACGCTTTTCCATCCTTGAAATATTTTGATAGTTTTTTGTTAGTTGTATTTTAAATTTCTTCTAAAATGTAGACTCCCATTAATTCCTAAACTTCTCTCTTATTATTTAAGAGATTTTTCTTATTTATGTTTATAGTCTGAACTTATATAAAGATAATGAGCTAACTATTTTCAATTTTCTTTAACAAATTATAAATTAAGCTTAAAAGGAAGACTAAAATTAATTTTTTCTGATATATCTTCTTTATTAATTATTGATGAATATTAATTAATCATACTTTAAATATATAAAATAAAATTCTTTTCAATTGCTATCTTTGCAAAATAATAATAAATTAAGATTTAATTTGTAAATAATAAACTTTATGGAGATATTTTTTAACTCTTATTTTCAATTATGATTGTTAAAATATTTTTACCTTCAAATTCCAAATTTGTTTCGAGTTTTTTGTTTTATTTATTTGATAATTTATTAATTGTGTTTTTTTCTATTTTCTAATTTTAGATATCAGATGAAAATCTTTCAATTTTCAAAATAAACTTCCCTAATGCTTTCAAATCATATAAGAGTGAGGTTTTATGTGAATGATCTTATATTAGGGATGGTAATAATTTTTAATAAAAATGTTTCAGAAATTGTTTATTTTTATATTTTACTAAAAGAATATTTAAGCATTTATAAAAAATGCAATTTTCAATGTAACCACAAAATCATTTCTAAAAAAACTACAAGTGAACATACTTATAAACAGAAAAAAAGATGATTGATTAAAATTTTTATGATTCTAGACACAACAATAAAAATCAAAATATTAAAAATTATTTTGTGCATAATTATTTTACTAAAAATGATTTAGATTGAATCTTAGTTTATGAAGAACTAATAATCTTTTGCTAAAACTAATAAAAAATTTGAAAACCACAACTTATTGAAAAAATTAATCATAAAAGAATAGGGTTTTTACATTTTTAATATTTTCAGAAATCACAACCCATGACATATACTTCTTTTGAGCATTCGTCATTTGAACAAATACCAGGTTGGCAACATACGAGTCTATCATTACCACAATTTTCTCCTTATGCAGCAGTGCATAATTCTTTACATTGTGAATCATTTGAAGAATATTTTCCAGACTATCCCCAAGCTCCTTTGCTAGTGGCTTTGTATAAATGAATTTTTTTAAAGTTCATTTCAAAATCTATTATAGGTATGTTTTATTACTTGATGGAGTAAATGATAACATAAAAATGGCACCTAAAACAATACATGCGAATAAAATCAAAAATGTGATTTATTTGTTCATTATTTTAAATTAATATTTCTAAAATAATAATTTAACTTTAAATAGTTTTGTATCTTATTCAATAGTAATATTATTGCCTTTAGTTTTAGATTATGTTATTTAAACTAAAAAAGATTGATAACAAATAATAAAATTCTTAGCTTTGATAAACATTTTGTTCAGAATTAAGGGATAATTATTTGTCTTCTGAATCATATTTTAATTTTTTTGATTGTGTTTGAAATTTAAAGTTCTTTCTGCCATAATGAATTCAATTCAATTATTGTAACTTTATAAGTTAGAAATAAATTTAAAATTTGAAAGTTATAAATTATTGAATTAAGAAATATTTGAGATATAGATTCCATATATTTTAAATAAAGTTATTAATTTTTCTCAACTACTAAATTTCTAATTGATTCATTCTAAAAGAGTAGTCTATTTTAGAGAAAATTTTTTTATTTTATGCTTAATTAATTAAAAAGTTCATAAATAATAAGTAAATTTTTATCTAAAATCTTATAAATTAAAAATGCTAATATATTCTAAATTTAAATCATATTTTTTTAAGTTTATTGTTTGCAAAAGAAATTGCTTCATAAACTTATTTTTTTGCAGAGTTGTTATAATAAGAGGAGTTAGATAAGAGTATATGTTTTTTATTTTGCATTAATACTTTTTTTACCTAAGGTAGTAAGTAAATATAAGGAAAACAATTGTTATGTTGTTTTGGATTTCAGTTGTATCAAAGAAGAGAGTATGATTTTTGAATATTTAAAAATGAATATACTGATTCTCACTTTGGTTTAGTGCAGCCTTCAACTGGAACTCTAGTTTCGCAGACCAATGAAGTACCATACCAATTACTTTCCTCTTTACATGCACTTGGTTGACAACAATTTTATTAAGCTTTTCCACAACTCATACCTTTGGCAGCTGTGCATTTTTTTTAGCAGTCTTTATCATAAGAGGTATATCCATCAAATCCCCATTCATGATTTTTTGAAGCTGAGAATGAATGACTCTTTTTCAACTTTAATTCAGCATCTTTGATTACTATAATATATTACCTGATGGGGCAAATGAAAACATGAATGTTGCAACACAAACAACACATGCTAATAAGATCAAAAGTGTGATTTTTCTGTTCATTATTTTAAATTAAGATTTTTATTTGCTGTTATTCATTTATATAGTGATTAATTCAAAGAAATATATNATCAAAAATGTGATTTATTTGTTCATTATTTTAAATTAATATTTCTAAAATAATAATTTAACTTTAAATAGTTTTGTATCTTATTCAATAGTAATATTATTGCCTTTAGTTTTAGATTATGTTATTTAAACTAAAAAAGATTGATAACAAATAATAAAATTCTTAGCTTTGATAAACATTTTGTTCAGAATTAAGGGATAATTATTTGTCTTCTGAATCATATTTTAATTTTTTTGATTGTGTTTGAAATTTAAAGTTCTTTCTGCCATAATGAATTCAATTCAATTATTGTAACTTTATAAGTTAGAAATAAATTTAAAATTTGAAAGTTATAAATTATTGAATTAAGAAATATTTGAGATATAGATTCCATATATTTTAAATAAAGTTATTAATTTTTCTCAACTACTAAATTTCTAATTGATTCATTCTAAAAGAGTAGTCTATTTTAGAGAAAATTTTTTTATTTTATGCTTAATTAATTAAAAAGTTCATAAATAATAAGTAAATTTTTATCTAAAATCTTATAAATTAAAAATGCTAATATATTCTAAATTTAAATCATATTTTTTTAAGTTTATTGTTTGCAAAAGAAATTGCTTCATAAACTTATTTTTTTGCAGAGTTGTTATAATAAGAGGAGTTAGATAAGAGTATATGTTTTTTATTTTGCATTAATACTTTTTTTACCTAAGGTAGTAAGTAAATATAAGGAAAACAATTGTTATGTTGTTTTGGATTTCAGTTGTATCAAAGAAGAGAGTATGATTTTTGAATATTTAAAAATGAATATACTGATTCTCACTTTGGTTTAGTGCAGCCTTCAACTGGAACTCTAGTTTCGCAGACCAATGAAGTACCATACCAATTACTTTCCTCTTTACATGCACTTGGTTGACAACAATTTTATTAAGCTTTTCCACAACTCATACCTTTGGCAGCTGTGCATTTTTTTTAGCAGTCTTTATCATAAGAGGTATATCCATCAAATCCCCATTCATGATTTTTTGAAGCTGAGAATGAATGACTCTTTTTCAACTTTAATTCAGCATCTTTGATTACTATAATATATTACCTGATGGGGCAAATGAAAACATGAATGTTGCAACACAAACAACACATGCTAATAAGATCAAAAGTGTGATTTTTCTGTTCATTATTTTAAATTAAGATTTTTATTTGCTGTTATTCATTTATATAGTGATTAATTCAAAGAAATATATCTTAAGTTATATGTTTCACTCAAAGTAAAACAAATGAGAGCTTTTTAATAAAAATTATAGATAATTACATAATATTATCATTTTTTTTAAATTGTTTTCTGTTATTTTTTAACAAATTCTAATTATGATTCAATACTATTATATTCCTATTAATGTTAATCTAACTTTCTTTTTGTAATTCCATCTTGCAATCTCAGATTTTCCATCTATTATTTATAAAATTAAACTATAGATTTTTATTTGCTCTTCATATGTGTTAAGAATAAATACTTAAGTTTCTTATATTTATTTGTTTAAATTTACAATTAGAGTATTTTCATTCTTAATTTAGTCAGTAATTTATTTCTGCTCATCCTCAATCACTTTAATTTGATTCCAAAGTACTTTATCAAGATTAAGTTACTAGACTGTCAAATGTTAGGCTTATTCTCTTAATTTATTCAATGGTTCTTCTACAACTTAAGTACTTTCTTTAACTCCCTATTAGCATAAAATTACTTGAGATTATGCAAACTTAAAGTCCTTTTCAGTTTGACTCTTTTTTACAAAAAGTTATTCTTTTTTCTTATCCACATATTCCTATTATTCTCTCTAGTCTGTCATTCCTTAAACCTTATGACGAAGATGAGGAATTATATTTCTTTTTCTATCTTAGATATTATCTAATAATAGTTTCTCAATTTATTAATTGGTTTCATATGAATTCAGAATTTTCTTAAAATTTATTTTGATAATGTCTTTATTCTTTTTTATCAATTAAATTGCATACATATCAGTTTAATCTCCCATAAGATTATTTGAGAAATCATATTCTTATATATTGGATTTTAGAAATGTTTTAAATAATTCTAATTCACTTATATCAGTTTAGCCTCATCTTTTCATTACAATACATTTGATATTACATGACCCTTAAAATTCTTCTACTAATACTAAAGCTCCTTAATCTCCTATGATATTTTTACTTATATCTAAAGTTTTCAAACTTGCATTTCTACATAAGCCAGATGCCAATTGTTCAATAAAATTTTAAGTCAATTTCTCAAAGAAAGGTATTCAAGATGATTATTATACACAAGATAATTGCAAATAAAAATATTGTTTTCACCTATAAAAGTATTTTCATCAAGTATTAATTTATTCAAATGAGTATTTCTTTCAATTTATTCTAGAATAGCAAATAGTTGATGAATGGTTAATTTATTTCTTTTTAAATTAATTTCACTAGCATAAACAGAATCAGAACCTTATCTTAATTATTCAGTAATTTAAACCACTTACTACCCTTAAATATTATTTTATGCTTCCAACATTTCTAAATATGATGGTAAAATTAGAGCATCTTTTAGTTCATTATCAGAAACATTAATATGTAAAAGATTAAGGTTCTCTGAAAAAGCAGAGTTTAAATTTCTTCAATCATATATGCCACAACCGCTTATATCCAAGATTGCTAGAATTCTATTCTTTTTTAATGCTTATGACAATTGATTTAAAGCCAATCCGAGTCTGTTCCTCTCGTTAGAAAAAGGATTACCAATATTCAAATGATAAAGTGTTTGATCGATTGAAAGAGTTTGGAAAAGTACTGAAAATCCTCTAAGACCTATTTCACAATTAAATAGAGTTAAACTAATCATAGGAAGTTAAAGATTTCGAATGCCACCATAAATTGGGTTTTAGGAAAGGTTAACAAAAGGAACATTTTTTACAACTTTATTTATTAAAGGTATGTAATTTGTAGGTAAGGATAGTTCCGATAAATCAATAGTATGACCAGAGTATTAACTCAATAATTTATCTTAGAATCTTAACATTTAGTCAGGTTGTATTGCTAAATATATATTTTTTTTATAGATATATAGATATATAAACAGTAAGGAAGAGTTTAAATAAATAATTTTTTTTAGCTTATAATTATTAAGAATAAAAAGTTATTAAATACTAAATTTTTTATAGATACTAATGAATTTTGAATAGAATAAATAAAAAAAGTAATTAACTAATTATAATTTTTGTAAATAATTAAAAAAGTAAAGATTAAAAGTTGAGAATAACTGAATCTTCAATTCTTCACATTTCTTGGCATATAAGGTTTCAAGAAGGTTAAGCATATTAGGAATGAATCTTCTAATTTAAGGAGATGAGCCAATTTTTATGATTTATGATTAAGCCGTGGATAAAGGGTGGAGAAGGGTCTTCTAGAATTAGCTCTTTTGACACTTCTCATTTATAATTAATCATGAAATATATAATCATTTTTGGAAACGCTGTTTATTAAGAATGAGAAAGTTTTTGCCTTTAGTTTTAGTAATTTAATCTTCTTTTTCAGCTTACCATAAAGCTGTGGAAGAAAGAAACTACTTTTTTGATTTATCATTTAAAGAATCATGTAGCAAGCAAATAATTTCATTTTCATTGCTAAATGTAACATAACATCGATAACCATTTATTTTGAGTTCATCAAGTTATACAAGATAGAGTTTTTTTTTATCTGAGATTCCAACAACACATACTTCTCCATCATCATCTTAGAATATAACAACAGGATCTCCATCAAGAGTTGTGATATGATCTCTGCATTTTAAACAGATATGTCTTTCTCCATGATAAGTAACATTAATATTTGGACCACCACATGTGATACACCCTTTGTCATAAAGAGCAGCCCTTTAAAGAGAATATGGTTCAAATTTAATTGGATTGCCTTTTTCTTCTGGTATTGCAAATGATTCAACTTATTCATCTACAGTGAGTTTTAATTGATTGCCCATCATTTATAATGCTTTTGATTTTCTAGCTGCTTATACTGCATGTCTTCTGCCTTTAGCAATGGCTGTTTCTGGAGTGGAAAGTTACACTTAATTTGTATCTGATTTAGCAATTTTCTAAAAGTCAACATAAGGCTCAAACATATAATAAAAGAATGAAGGTGCCATTCTATCTGCAACAATAGCAGGTAAAAGATTTTACATTTTTTTAGTTCTTTCTCGTCTTAATATTTCAAGTTTTTTTCTAATCATAAAATTAATGAATCATTCACCTTTGAAAAGTGATATAAACTCTACAGTTAGAGATGATTAAATAAGACTTAATATGGGAGGTTTCAAGTTTTCTGCTCAACAATTATAAAATATATTCACTCTCAATCAAAGAAGAAGGATGTGTGAAGAAATAGACTTTCTTGAGTAGTTAGGAGGTTTAGGTAATGGTTTTTCATCATTTTTTAGATAGTTTATTAGATGGATTATGTACATCTATTAATGGAGGAATAGTGAGTGATGACATTAACAAAAGGACAGAATTATATGGTCATAATAAAAGGGTTGTACGGCCACCTTAAACATATTGTGAATTATTAATGGATGCTATGGGAGACTTTACTATGAGAGTCCTTACTGTAGCTGCATTTGCTAGTATTGTTATTTAAGTTGCAACTGCAGATGACGATCATCGATCTTTAGCTTGGATTGAAGGATTTGCTATCTTTATAGCTGTGCTGGTATGTACTAATGTTGCTGCATTGAATGATTACTCTAAAGAAAAATAATTTAGGAAGTTAAATGCTGTAAGTGAGTAGTCTAAAATTGTAACTATCATACGAGATGGAAAAGAGCATAGATTACATGAAGAAAATTGCTTAGTTGGTGATATAGTCAAATTAGTTGAAGGTATGGAGATACCAGCAGATGGAATACTAATAGAGGCTTCAGAAATAAAAATGGATGAATCATCTATGACAGGAGAAACTAATTCAATTAAGAAAGGTACAATAAAACAATGTTTACATAAAAAGGAAGAATTAATAAATGAAGGAGCTGAATTTGGAGAAAAGGATAGGTTTCTAATTCCATCTCCAGCTCTTTTATCTGGTACTAGAGTCTTAGAAGGAGAAGGACTATTTCTTGTTTGTGTTGTTGGAGATCTATCGTGTTTAGGTTAAATCAAAGCTTCATTAGAATAGGATGACGATGAAGAAACACCTCTTTAATAAAAATTAACCATTATTGCTGAAGATATTGGAAAACTAGGATTATATGCTGCTATATTGATTGTAATTGTACTGATGATCAGATTGGCTATTGAAAGAGGTATAGAAGGAGAATGGAATCATAACAAACATTGGATGGAAATTCTTAATTTCATCATTTTAGGAATCACTGTTTTAGCTGTCGCCATTCCAGAAGGTTTACCATTATCAGTCACTATTTCTTTAGCATATTCAGTTTCAAAAATGATGAATGATAAGAATTTAGTAAGGAAAATGTATGCTTGTGAAACTATGGGAGGAGCTGATTCAATCTGTTCTGATAAAACGGGAACTTTGACTATGAATAAAATGACTCTAACTAAAATGTGGAATTAAAATTATATTGAAGTTAACTATTTGGCAAAAGAGTAAGACTTGACAGTTTTTGGTAAAATCAAATAATTAATGATTGAATCAATATGCTGTAATTCTTCTGCTGAGTTAGATCCTGAATAAGGATCAAAAACTGAAGTAGCTTTATTAGAATACATAAGAAGAGGATAAGTTGATTACAAAAGCGTTAAAAGTTCAGTCAAATATCTACAAAAAATACCTTTTAATTCTGGAAGAAAGAGAATGAGTGTAATAGTTTCGACTTAAAGGAACGGTTTACCTGTAAATCGTTTGTACATTAAGGGAGCTAGTGAAATAATAATAAAAGGGCTAACTCATCATCATACATTAAATGATGAAATAATAGGATTATAAGAATAAGATATAAAAAAGATAGAAAATATAATAAGCGAGATGGCAAAGTAATCACTAAGAACAATCTGTGTAGCTTATAAAGATTTGAATGGTAATGAAGATTTGGTGAGTAATGATGGTAAAGTGTATTAAGTAGAAAAAGAAAACTTGACTTTTTTATGTTTATTAGGAATAATGGATAATTTAAGAGAAGGAGTAAAAGAGGCAGTAACTTTATGTAAGAAAGCAGGAATAAAAGTTAGAATGGTTACAGGAGATAATTCTGAAACAGCAAGAGCAATAGCTTTATCATGTGGTATTATAGAAGCTGGAGATAGTAGAGCAATAGTAATGGAAGGTTCTGAATTTATGAATAAGATAGGAGGAATAGTTTGCAAGAATTGTAATACAGAATCTTGTAAATGTGCAAGAACTTAAAGTGAAGCTGAGAAAAATGGAACTTAATTAAGAGTAGATACATTAGGTGATTTGGGATCATTTAAGAAATTATATCCATAAATAGCAGTTTTGGCACGTTCAAGACCAACAGATAAATATGCAATGATTGTAGGATTAAAAGATTGTGAACATATTGTAGCAGTTACTGGTGATGGTACAAATGATGCTCCTGCTTTAAAAAAGGCTGATGTTGGATTTGCTATGGGAATTTCAGGTACATAAGTAGCCAAGGATGCAGCTGCTATTATTCTTATGGAAGATAATTTCAGTGATATTGTTAAAGCTGTTATGTGGGGTAGAAACATTTTCTAATCTATTCGTAAATTCTTATAATTTTAATTAACTGTGAATGTTGTAGCTGTAGGATTGACTTTAATAGTTTCTGCTGTACTGAAATAAGAAGTTTTAAAACCTATTTAAATGTTGTGGGTCAATCTTATTATGGATTCTTTTGCCTCATTAGCCTTAGCAACTGAACCTCCTAGTCCTATTCTATTGAATGATAAACCATATTCAAGATCTTAATCAATTATTACTAAGAAAATGCTTAAACATATCTTTGGTTAAGCAACATTTCAAATTGCTATTATGCTAATTGCTGTATTCTTAGCTCCACATTTTGTTCCAGAATATAAAGATGAATTTGATGATTTAATTATAGAATTCTTTCAAAAGAATAATTAAACTTAGCTACCATCTAGTTTTTATCATCCAAAATACGATAAGGATTATTTACCTGATTAATATATGATTAGAAGTGGAAGAATGCTTACTGTAGAAGGTGAAGATGATTATGAACCTGTCTATAGAGAATTTATGGTTCCAAGTAGACATTTCACTTTCATCTTCAATATGTTTGTTATGATGCAAATATTCAATTTCTTAAACAGTAGAAAATTAAATGATGAATTCAATATTTTCTAAAATATTGGCAATAAGTATAATCATTCATTTAATTTAGTTCTCTATTTATTATTATTGTATTCCTTATCTTTGCCCTCTAAATTATTTTGATTACTTTCGCTGGTATTGCTTTCTCATGCTATACCTATTATGGATTAACCATTTAATAATGGCTAATCTGTGTGCTTATTGGGGCTATTGGATGGATTGTTAGTGCTCTATTAAAATTAATACCAGAATAAGCTGTATAAAATTTATATATATATATTTTAACAGATCTGCCCAGATTCTATTGAATAAGTATCGACAGAATAAGAACAGAGAAAACCTTCTGGTATTTTAGAATTACGTCGTGGTTCCTCGATTAGACGTTCACAAAGACATCAAGAGATTTAACTTTGATTTTAATAATAAATCATCATTATAAAATGTCCAAATATTAATCAGATGATTCTGACATTAAATCAAGATCACTCTAATTACCTTCAATTAAACAACCACACACTATCATTACTTCTGCTGAACTTCAATAAATTAAATCTCACATCCATTTTACAGAATAAAAACCTTAAAAAGTATAACTTATTTTTATTCCTTTAGAGTTATGACAGTCAAAAAGTTTGGGCTTAACGTATAGAAAAATAAAGACAATAGAAGGAAAAGGAAAAGTTCCAAAAATTTATGGTTGAAGAAGAACAAAGACGAAAAATTGACAGAGAAGAAGCAGATCATTAAGAAAAACTTAAAATTGATTAAATTGCTAATGCAAACAATAAAATCTTTGAATAAAGAGCAGAGTATTATATTTTCAATTATGTTTCAGTGTTAGAAACATGAAATCTAAAATGCTATTATCAGAAATAGATAAAGCAAATCAGAAACTAATTTAATTAAATAGGGAAAAATAAGAAATCCAATTAATGTATGATGCATAAAAAACAAGAGAAATTAATACATAAAAATCTTTTTAAGAATAATTAGAATTAGAAAAAAGTTAAATAAAAGAGTAATTAAAAAAACAGACTTATGATATCTTAGGAAAATAACATTATGAGGTAAAGGAAAGGTATCTAAAGGAATATGTTAAACTTTAACAAGAAGGAGAATTAATCAAAAAAATAGCTGATGAAGAAGAATTGAAGAAAGAGTAAAATTTTATTGGTAATACAATTTTAGAAAGTAAAAAGAAGATGATAAAATTAAAAAGTAAAAATTATTAGGTGAACATCAACAATTTCTTGAAATTAAATAATAACTATTGTAAAATGAATAAAAATTATAGGAAGTTGAATTTTAATAAAGAGAAAATTATGAAAAACATAAGGATAGAGTTCTTCAAATGAGAAAAGAGAGAGTAATTTTTAATTATTTAAATAGGAAACAGAAAAGAAGCAAAGATAATTGAAAATTAGAGAGCAAATATATGATATTAGAGTTACTCAATTGAAAAAATAAGAAGATGATTATATGTAAAGAGTTTAAAAACATGCAGAGGAATTGTAAAGACATGAAGAAGAGGTAGCTAAATAAAAGGAATTACATAAATCTTTAATGATTTAAGAAGGGGAACATTTTCGATAATAATAACTAAAACTTAAAGAGAAATAGTAGGAGAAAGATGAATAAGTATTATAGGAAGAGCACAAGATGAAAATGAGCGCTTTGTAATAATTATCATTTGTGGAGGATTAATAAAAAGAAATTTTGAAAAAAAGAAACAAAGAAACACAAGAGTATCAAAAGATGCAAATTGTAATTATAATCAGTAATAAAGGAACTGAAAAAACAGATGAGAAGAAATTAATTTTTAAATGAACTTAAGGAATCAAAATAAATGGAACTTCGATCATAGATAGAGAAAGATGCTTTTAGTAGTTGGGCTTAATCATAAATTTAAGACCTTAAGGAATCAGGATTAAATTTATACCCTTTAACAAAGTCATTTAAATTATGAATTAAATCGAGTTAATAATAAAATAACTACAATTATATAAGTAATCAGGATTATTCACTTTCTTTTCTACTTGTGCTATTAGACATTAACAATTATTCAAATCGATCCTATTTTCTACATATAGTGATAAATATTTTTAATCGGCTAATTATATGATACAAAAAGAGTACCTTTTACAACTGTTGACAATCAAATCATCTCTTTTGAAGTTTAGTTTCCTTCCAAAAATTTTATAAAGATGATGAAATCTTTATAAATCAAACCTTATAGATTAATCTAGTTTTTCTAGAAATTAATAATTTTAACATACTTGGGTGCAAAGGAACCATCAATTTTAATTCTTTAAATTATTTTTCTACAAATTCCCTCTATTCTACAAGATCAATACATTGATTATGTAAAAATTAACATTTAGGTCCATAACAGCAAAAACCACTAAAATAGCGTTTACAAGGCTTAGTCTTAGTATATGCTAATGCATGAATGTTGTTTTCAGTTTTTGCGGGTGTATGAATAAAAAAACACTAATTAAGATTTAAACAAAATTACTTGATCTCCGTATTTGCAATTACCACTAATTTAGAAATTTCGACAGAGATCCTTCTTCTTTTTTAGAGGTTCCTCCTCCTAATAGCATTTTTTGTTTCTTATTTTTCTTTGTACAATCTCGAAGGATTCTTCAGAATTTTAATCAGACAGATTTTCAAAAGAGTGATCAGTACTATTGGATTATTGATCAATAATTGGAATGAGGGACATGGCTTTTAAAAACAAATTATAATTTATAAATTTCTTAAGAAAAAAAAGGAGCAAAAATTTATTAATTATCGTTAAAAATATATGATAACAGACAGTCCTTCTCAAAAACGTTCTAATAAGGAGAACTCTCCAAAATACTTCTCAATCACTCGGTAAAGCAATATCTCACATAAAATAATCAATGAAGTCTTGAATAGTGGCTCAGACTATCTCTAAGATTAAATGGAATAGATTGATCTCACAATAATGCAATATTAATGTAATATCAAATAAAAGATTACAACTCTCTTAAATGAGTCATCCACATCTATAGATTAATCAAATTATCAAATAAAACTATAGGATTTGAGAATAGAGGAATAGAAGTATCATCTATCAATAAATTAGCTTTCAGCAAATGTAAAATGATTTAGATAGACAATAAACTATTGTTTATGATTATTATGAAACAGAGTTTAATAAACTGAAAACTCAATATGAATTTATTGATTAGGAACGTCAATTATTTCTTAAAGAGCGCAATAATTTTTAGGATACTTATAATTAGTATTTAGAAACTAAAGCATTATTATAAGAGGATTTAAATGGTAAATTATTATAAAGAGCTGAACTTGTTGGTTAAAAGGAAGAACTTGAAGAATTCGTTGAATAAGTTAAAAATGAGAACCCTTAACTTACAGATTTGGTTGAATAAATTTATAATTGCAACTAAAAAGTTAGAGATATCAATTAAAATATATTTTCTATAACTGACTCTATCAAGAATTTACAATAATAATAAGAAAATAAAAAAAGATAATTAGCATCATTTCATTAAACAACATTACTTGAAGTTTAATCTCATCAATAAAGTTAAAAAGTAAAAGCTTTAAAAAATAAAATTGTACCAATACAGAAAAGTTTGAATTTATAACATCCTGATTCAATTCTTAATGAATTTATAAATTCTTTTGGAGGTTCCCAATTTTATTTAGATTCAATTGAATTTTAAACTAAATTATAAACATTTACTTAACAATTTAGAAACAATTTATTTAAATAAGGTAATTAAGGTAATAATTGGGGAAGCATGAAGGAGTTTGTAATATAATTAGAATCATTTATTTAAGCGTCTCTTTAATAAAAGTTAATTTAAAATTAATTATTAGTAATTATTTAAAAATAATATAAGGAAATGAAAAATGCATTAAAATAACATGGAGACGAATTATTATTATCCAATGAGGTATGCTCAATTGATTATTAAGTTGAAGTCAAGAAATAATAGATAAGAGAATTGGAAGAAGATAAATCTACATTAGATTATAAAAGAGAAAGGTAATATAATATTAAATTTAGGTTTTATGAATAATTTCAAGATAGAATTCGATAATAATCAGAAGATGCTTTTCTTTAGTATTAGAACTAAAATGAAGAGAATTTAAATTATATTAAATCAGAATATGGGGATTCAGAATATAAATCAATCCTTGATTAAACTTAAAAGGAAATGTAGGAGTTGATGCAGGATTAAGAAGAAGTAATAAATCAATAGAATTTAGGAATAATTTAATAATACAATGAAATTAATTTGTCAGTATTACTTATAAGATTAAGCAATAAAAATCAATATACAGATGGTAGATTAAGAAATACTACCTTAGTTGAAGAATATTGCATAATAAATTTAGAAAGCAAAAAAAGATTTAGAAAGAGTAGGTGGAAGTGAGAAACAGATATTTGATAAATAAAATAAGGTAGAATAGGAAATTTAAGCATTAGAATAGGAGTTTAAGATAAAGATAGACCAATTTAATGGATAGGAGATGGAGATTTAGAAATAATTGAATATAGTGAAATAAGCAATAGAAAATACATAAGAATAATTATTATCTAAAAGTAAGCCTAATAAAGCACTACTTGAATAAGAAATATTGTAATTGAATAATCTATTAACTCAATTATAAGAATAAAAGAAATAATTGGAAGGTGTTTAGTTTTAATTAACTAAATCACCATAAAGAGTTGATGTTAGTAGAAAAAGTTCAAATGGAGGTATTTTGGCAATATCAAAATCTTTAAACTAATTTACAAAAATGAGAAAAGAACCAATAGTAACTAGTTTTAACAATAGTGTAGTGAAAGGCATTACACCAACAAAAGATGCATCTAATCTTTATTTGATTAATAAGTTTACAAAATAAACAACTTGTAAGACCTCTTAAGAATTGAGACTTAAATCTAATATTTCAATCAAATAGATTAAATGATTTTATTAAATAAAAACTACTTAAAAAATTAAAAAGTTAATAATCATGCAATAGAGTTGTATTTAATATCTTATTATGATTTTAATTAAGTTATTACTCCTGTTTGATTATCAAAAAGTATTGATTCTTATTAAAATGGACTGGAGAATTGTTATTTCTTATCTGTTTGAACCATTAGATTAGTTGTTTATGCAATTTTTGGTAACCTAAAATGTGGCCATGCTTCTGGTTTGTTTAATGTTTATCTATAGATGTTATCATATCTTTAGTAAAATAGCATATAAGCATATTCATTTTAAATCATTTTTTGAATGTCTTAAACTCGATAAATTTGTTCATCATTATACATAAACCAATTATTATTCTAAGCTTTGCAAAGAGCTACATAATGTCCAGCATAGGAAGAACCTTCATGTTATGCTACTGCATATAGTTAATAACATGAAATAGCTTAATCAACACAATAGTCTCCCATATCTAATTCTAATGGGAATTCTATTAGAGTATTAAGTTTAATTGGTTTTTTATGATTGAATTCAAATCTGTTGAGATGAATGATAAGTTAATTAGGTAATTTCCAAAGTTGTATTTACTTTTTGAAATCCCTATTAATTTTACAATGAGGACATTTCCATTAACAAGAACCAGATAAAAGTTCTGATTATTAAAATAAATCTAAACATTTATAAATAGAAACGTTTTATTTAGGGATAGGAAGATTAAGGAAAAGAAAAGGTTCAAATTTATGACTTTAGAAACCACATTCTGAACATTGGCAAGTAGATTTTAATTATCCTTAGAATAAATCTACAATAATGCTTCTATTTAACTTTAAATGTTCCCCCCAACTATCTGCAGCCCATTGAGGATTAATTTATTATCCTATATAATCTTTAACTACAATTTTAGAGTTTGGTTAGGATCTATTTAATTCTTAATGTAATAAATCAAGAAGATAAGACAATAATTCTTAACAATCTTCCTAATCTGACATATAAGTAGAATTTGATTACCTCCTAATGCAAATCGTTTGCTATACTTTTGTAAGAGATTTAAAAGTTTTATTGGATTTATACATTTATTATAAGGTTTAGGTTTTTAAACTGATGCAGGGAACCTAAATTCCTTAGATTCTGCAAAACAATTTTAATCATCCCATATTTATTCCATTAAAGATAATAAAGCTTTTGTGATATTACCTGAAGTTGAGCAAGAAGAATTTATTTTATAAGCTTTTGAAAGAAAATAGTCTACAAGTGGTTGAGTATGAATGATGCAATGGATCGCAGTATTAAAGTAACATGTATTTCCAAGATTCCTGAGTCCAACTACACCATGAATAACAGCACTATTGATTGTTTCTAATCTCTCAATCTTAGAATAATTTGATTCTATTTTTAAATATGCTTTTGGAACATTTAGTCTCTGATTCTATACAAATCTATAACTGCCAACATTTTTATGATTCTCAAGAAACACAATTGGTACATTTTATTATCGATTCTATCCACTACCCATATAAAATAATTAAAATAATTTATATATCACACTTCTAATCATTTTATAACTCCGATTCTACTTATTATAATAACATTAAACTTATTTACATACATTTTTATTACTATTACTTTCTTCTTTTATGATTCTCACTTACTTATATATAATTCAAGTCTATTCAATTATACATATAAACTAATATTCAAGATAAAACTATCTCATAACCAAACTAATTTCATTTTTATTAAGAATAATAATTCTCAATTTTATCAATATCTATCTTAAGTAATATAATATATCAGTAATGTTAATATTCTATTGATTTTCTCTAAATATTCACTATATTATAATTTTGGTTCTATCTTTTTACGGGAACGCAAAATATTAAATTTTATTTTAGGAACTATTGAGTACATCCATGAAATTAAATTTATTTTTATAATTAACATATATAATGTGATTTTTAGTCATTTTTAAACTTGAATATATAATTAGCATAAATTATTTGATTTTGAATCATTAGATTTAAGAATTCGAAATTAATAGTTTAATTCTAATTATTTAGTCATTATTTCTTATCTTTTAAAATAGATATGATTTTTTTATCTAAATATACTCAAATTGTTAAGGGAAAATAGATTTTTAAAATAATTAGATCTATAGATAATAAGATTTAAATTTAAAAATAATAAAAACTCAATTATTATGAATATGATTTTCAATCCAAATATAATATATATTTGGAGGATCTGTTCAAGATCAAAAGAAGTGAATAACATTTAACTGATTAAAGAGAATATTTGTCTTGGAACTAAATAATAGAAATTAGATTTATATAATCAATGATTAATAATAATATAGATAGTAAGAAAGATATTAAAAAAAAATATTATTTAGTAGAGGATCAAAAAAAATCCATATCTTACAAATCTATATGAATATCAGGGCGATATTTCATATATTAACTAATAGCGCTTAAGATAATGGATAAATTTGATAACTGTANAATAACAGCACTATTGATTGTTTCTAATCTCTCAATCTTAGAATAATTTGATTCTATTTTTAAATATGCTTTTGGAACATTTAGTCTCTGATTCTATACAAATCTATAACTGCCAACATTTTTATGATTCTCAAGAAACACAATTGGTACATTTTATTATCGATTCTATCCACTACCCATATAAAATAATTAAAATAATTTATATATCACACTTCTAATCATTTTATAACTCCGATTCTACTTATTATAATAACATTAAACTTATTTACATACATTTTTATTACTATTACTTTCTTCTTTTATGATTCTCACTTACTTATATATAATTCAAGTCTATTCAATTATACATATAAACTAATATTCAAGATAAAACTATCTCATAACCAAACTAATTTCATTTTTATTAAGAATAATAATTCTCAATTTTATCAATATCTATCTTAAGTAATATAATATATCAGTAATGTTAATATTCTATTGATTTTCTCTAAATATTCACTATATTATAATTTTGGTTCTATCTTTTTACGGGAACGCAAAATATTAAATTTTATTTTAGGAACTATTGAGTACATCCATGAAATTAAATTTATTTTTATAATTAACATATATAATGTGATTTTTAGTCATTTTTAAACTTGAATATATAATTAGCATAAATTATTTGATTTTGAATCATTAGATTTAAGAATTCGAAATTAATAGTTTAATTCTAATTATTTAGTCATTATTTCTTATCTTTTAAAATAGATATGATTTTTTTATCTAAATATACTCAAATTGTTAAGGGAAAATAGATTTTTAAAATAATTAGATCTATAGATAATAAGATTTAAATTTAAAAATAATAAAAACTCAATTATTATGAATATGATTTTCAATCCAAATATAATATATATTTGGAGGATCTGTTCAAGATCAAAAGAAGTGAATAACATTTAACTGATTAAAGAGAATATTTGTCTTGGAACTAAATAATAGAAATTAGATTTATATAATCAATGATTAATAATAATATAGATAGTAAGAAAGATATTAAAAAAAAATATTATTTAGTAGAGGATCAAAAAAAATCCATATCTTACAAATCTATATGAATATCAGGGCGATATTTCATATATTAACTAATAGCGCTTAAGATAATGGATAAATTTGATAACTGTATAACTTAAAACCAAATTCAATATCTATAGAATAAGGTATTATATTGTGTCACTAATTTTTGCTTTAACAACCAAAATTTATACTGAAAACTATTAAGTCTATTTAACCTCTTTAATTAATTTAAATTGAATGATTAGATCAATTATAAATAATTCTAGAATAAATCACTCATTAAGAGAATTTAATAAAAACTTCATATTTGTACATGACTTTGGATCTAAATTAATATCCATATAAGATGCTAAAATTATTCTTTTATTAAAAATAAATATTTAATTAATGATAAAATAGAACTCTTGTAAACATTATTAGAGAAATTGTGATAAAAAAGCTCCTTGTTGTTAAATCTATTATCCTTGCAGATTATGTCATGATCAATAGTACAAAGGACCAAAATCTGATGGATGTAAAGTAGAAACAATGGATAGATTTAACGTTATAGAAATTCGTTGTCGAAAGTGTTTGAAAGAATAAGCACCTTCAAATGAATGCATTAATTGTGGAATTCAATTTGCAAGATACTATTGCCAAATTTGTAAATTATATGAAGATGATTAAAAAAAGAACATATTTCATTGTGAAAAATGTAAAATGTGTAGATTGGGAAAAAAAGAAGAATTTTTTCATTGCGAAATTTGTGATGTTTGTTTGTCTCTTTCAATAAAGCCTAGTCATATTTGCATAGAAAAAGCATTTGAATAAAATTGTGCTGTTTGTTAAGATTATCTAAAGAATTCAACTTAATTAGTCTAATAATTAACCAATTGCCCTCATTTCATTCATGTAAAATGTTTAGAAAATTCAATCTGTAAAGGTTTACAGAATTGCCCAATTTGTAATGTAGCAATTTATGTAATTATATATATATAAGTTTAGAAAATGAGTAAAAAACAAATTAAATATCTAGATGAAATGAATGAGCTTATGAAGTAAGAGCTTACTGAAGAATAGTTAAAATAAGTAGTAACTATAATATGTTCTGATTGCAAAGCCAAAAGTAATAATGTTTAATTTAACATTTATTTAAAATGTTAGAATTGTGGTTCATATAATACTCGGGAATGATAAGAAATACATTATAATTTTCATCCCTTTATTATATAAGTTTTAATCATCAATTCATCTTTAAGTTGATTTTTTTTATTTCATTTAATGTTATTATATCTGCCTTCTTTTCATAGTTATTATTTTACTAAACTAAATAATTTTTATCTTAAGTAACAATTTGAGATTCTTATTTTTCAATTTATAATTCTCTTTGTTGAGAAACAGTTAATAAGTTAAATTTGAAAATTTTAATAGAGGTTTTTAAGAGATATAGATTTGCATCATTTTAATTTCATTTGATAAAACTTTGCTTTTTCTTTTGTTTAATAAATTATAATAATTTAAACAAGAACTCATTTCTTATTCAAAATTAATTTTTGTATTAAATTCATTAAATGAACTATAAATTTTTGGAATAATTTATGATGATATCTATCTTATTTACTTTGTTTAGCTTTTGTTTTTACTTTAATTAGTGATTATTTTAAATAATGATATAAATAACCATAATTCAACATAATAGTATTGTTAATAAAGTATTTTTACAAATATTTGCTAATAAAGTTATGAAATTAATTTTTATACATATATAATTGAATACTAAGTTGAACCTGAACTTGTTAATTATAGAACAACCCTTTTTACAAGAGATAATATTTAAAATTAAATATATAATAATAATAATATTTGATTTTCAGAAAATTATTTAAATATGAATTAAATTTAGTAAGAAACTGAAGAGCCAAGTTCAAAATTAAATTAACTAATGTTAACTGATGAACCAATAGGTGAAATTTAAGATTTCCTCAATTATTCTTTATCAGAAGGCATCTTCTCAATATAAGGATCAAAAAGAAATAGCAATAATATTTAGAAGAGTTAAAGTTCTAACTAAAATGATCATGAAAATAAAAGAGTTTAGTTTGATTCATCACTTAATAGTCCCTCAACTCATTTTCTAGTTAATAAAAAAAGTACTAGATTCTATGAAGCTTCTCAACAATCACATCAATAATAATAAATATGTAGTGTTATTCAATTTTGCTTTATCAAAAGGTTCATTAATCGAATAAGTTGGAAAAAGAAAATAAATGCCTAATTTAATTTCTATTAATATAACATTCTCAAAGATTTAGGTTCATCATTCAATTTAAAACTTTTTAGAGACAGTGGTCTCAATCTTAAACCTATGATTAGTCAATTTAGTAACTCTAATAATAATCTTAATTAGAATCAAAAAAAGAAGTAAAACTTTTGATTTTATTAGTTCTAGGAGATTTACAAAAAAATTATCTAAACATTATTCTGATTTAAAAAATTGTACAAATAATTTTTACAAAAAAATAGAATTAGAATTGGAGAAAATACCCTTAATCACACCAGAATCTCGATTAAAGATAGTTTGGGATTGTGTAGTCATGATGAGTAGATTATATTTTCTATTTACTATCCCATTAGATTTAGCTTGGAATTAATAATAGATCATATATGGTCAACTTTACACACCAACTATCTTTATGATTCTACTCTTAGTATTAGATATCATCTTAAGCTTTAACAATTCCTTTTATTAATTTGGTTAAATTGTTAGTAATAGAGTCACAATAGCTAAAAATGTAATAAGTAAGTGTTATGGACTAGAAGCTATTTCTATACTTATTTTAGTGATTTATGCAATCATTTTTAATTCTTCTAAATAAGGGTTTAATCTAATGAATGATTGGTGGGATCTAATATTGTTATTGTTTTTTGTACAATCTAGAAATATTCCAAAATTAATTAGTCAAATTGAAGAAACTTTAAATTTATCCAAACCTAGTAGCTCATTATTAGAATTATTTAAATTGCTTTTAGTTTTATTCTTCGTTCTACATTGTTATTCATGTCTTTGGTATTTTGTAATTTATAATATAAATAATTTAATTAGGTTGGATATTATAGTCAATTAAATTCAGAGAAGGGGAGTTGGTTAGAGTTCTATCATATTGAAAATGAAACTTGGTAGGTTTAATATTTATATTCTTTCTATTTTTCTACTGTAACTATGTTTACTATTGGATATGGAGATGTTGTACCTATTAGTTATTTAGAAAGAATTGTTGCTATTCTTTATATGATGATTTGTAGTATTCAACTTAGTTATAGTGTTAGCACAGTAGGGGCAATTATTGATACAATATCTGCTTATGGATAAGAAAAAATGAGAAAAATGAGGAAGATTAATACATATATGTAAAATAGAAAAATTGAATATTAATTACAATATTAAATTAGAGAATACTTAAATTATTATTGGGAATCACAAAATCTAGTAGAAAATGATGAACTTAATGAGATAATTAATTAATTATCTGAAAATTTAAGAGAAAATTTAATGAATTAATCAAATTCAATGATTTTAAATGAATGTCCTCTATTTAAAAATAATTTCAGTGATGCTCTAAAGTCAAAATTAGTTCATAAAATTAAACCTGCAGTCATATAACCAGAGAATATCATTAATTTTGATTCCATTTTCCCTTAATTACCTAATGGTTAATTATATGTATGTTTCGTTGAATTTGGAGATATTTAAATATTTATTTAAAATGATTAAATTGATTCAATCTTAGAAAATCCATAAATTGCAGAAGTTAGTAAAGTTGGAAAAGGTTCAAGTCTTGGTATTATTAGTTTTATAACCGGGAAATAATCATAAGAAAGATTTAGAAGCATTGGATTTTCAAAATTATTAATGTTATCTAGAGATGATTTTTTAAAAGTTATTTAAGATTTTCCAGAAGATTATGAAAGATTTAGAAATCTATATGATAGTGTTTAATTTGATGATGTAAGTGCATTACATATGAAATGTTTTAGTTGTCATTCAAGTTATCATAGAGTTCTTTAATGTCCCTTATTACATTATATTCCAGATAGAGAATTAATAATCAAAAGATATCAATTTAGTATAGATTAAATAAGAAATAAAAATTTCATTAGAAATCCATTTAGATAAAGAGGATACTTTGCAGCTAGATTTGATCAAGAAATTATAGAATAAGAAGCAACATCATTTAATAATAATAATTGGAAATGGGCAGAATTTTATGAAGAACCTGATGATGAAATACTTAAAAGAAGTGATGTTTAATTTAATTAAAGCAACCTTGAATAAAGTACTTCTAATCTATAAATCTTAAACTAACCTAGTTAATAATTAAAATCTAATTCAAATTCATTCTATTCTGTAATGGATTAATCTCCTAAATTAAATTTAGAACCTCCAGTTACCAAAAAGAAAGCAACTTTATTTAAATAAAGAACTAAAACTATAGAACTAATGGATATTGATGATAAATCTTTAAAAGCATCCTTAATGAGTAAAGCCAGAAATTAAAATATATACAATAATAATCTGAAAATCATTAAGGAAGAAGATTAATTAGAAAATTCACCTTTAAGTAAATTTAAAAAAATGAGACCTTCAGTAACTATCGAATTAAATATTCAAAGAGTTAAAGAAAACATTTAAAAAATGAGAAAAGTAGTTAAAACAATCACAAATATGAATAGAATTAAAAAAAGACAAAAATAAAAGAAAGAAACTAAATAAATAGTTAATTCATTTTTAGAGATCATTTAATCTTAAAACTTTATGAAAGGAGTCTTAAATAAAGTGAGAATTAGATTAAAACAGATATAGGATGGTAAAAAGTAAATATTATCTGAAAAAGATATATCAGATACTATGCTAATGGAAATAAAATTAAAAATGCAAATCAATCAATTAAATGAGTTCTAAAAAAAAGATTAATATTTAATAATGGAATCATATAAGAAATTTAAACATTATCATATACAGAATAACTTAGATTCCATATTAGAAAGAATGTATTTTTATAAGTAGTAGCATTAATTAAATAGTTAAATTAAAAATTACCAATCTTAATTTTTGAAATATATGATATACCCAGAGATATTCTTTGAAAAATATAGATATTAATAAATCCTCATTCCTAAATTTGATATATCAGAATCCCGAAGAAATTCAAGAGATGAGGAATCTGAACAAACATTAAGGAGAAGCAAGATGTTAAAGAAAAGTTTTAGAAATGTTAAATCTTCACAAGTAAGACCAGCATCAGAAGGAACAGCTAAAATATAGTTTTGAGATTTATTCATATAATAATTTATAATTAAAAAGAGATATCTTTCAGAGTTATTCAATCCATGTACTTATTTTTAAAATTTGGATTAATAAATGAGTAATAAAGTTAAATGTTTAAATAACTTTTAATATTGTCTTTATTCTCTAAATATTAATTTTAATTTCAAATTTAAAAATGGAAGAACATTATGAAAAATTAAACATTCTAGGCAAAGGCTCTTTTGGGGTTGTCTATAAGGTGATGAGAAAAAGTGATTAGAAAATACTTGCTTGTAAAGAATTACATTATGGTATAATGACTGAAAAGGAAAAAAATTAATTAGTTAATGAAGTTAATATATTAAGAGAATTAACACATTCAAACATTGTTTAATATTATGAAAGGTATTGAGATGATTGAGCTATAAAGAATTATTGACAAAAAACAGGCTAAAATTTATATAATTACAGAATACTGCTCTGGAGGAGATTTGAGCTAACTCCTTAAAAAATGCAAAAAGGATAAGGATTACATAGCAGAAGATGTAATCTGGAAGATATTTACTCAATTGTCTTTGGCTATAAATGAATGCCATAATAGAACACCCAAGATTTTACATCGAGATGTTAAGCCTGCTAATATATTCTTAGATGAAAATAATAACATAAAACTTGGAGATTTTGGTTTATCAAGAATTTTGGGTGAAAACTCATAATTTTGCAAAACTCATGTTGGAACACCTTATTATATGTCTCCAGAATAAATTACTGAAGCCTATTATGATGAAAGCAGCGATATATGGTCTTGTGGATGTTTACTTTATGAATTAGCAGCTTTGAAACCTCCTTTTGAAGCTACAAATCATTTGAGTTTAGCTATAAAAATAAAAAGTGGTCAATTTGATAGAATTCCACTGAGATTTTCTGAAGACTTACATCAATTAATTACTTCAATGCTTGATGCAGGTTTAAATTTATATTAATAATTGTAGATCCAACTAAAAGACCTAGTGTTATGGAAATTCTAAAATTACCATTAATCAGTTTGAGAATCAAAGAAAAAAAGTTAAAAGAAAAGCATGCTTAAATTAAATTGAAAGAAGAAGAACTTCGACAAAAAGAATAATAATTAAAGTTATGGGAATAAAGCTTGACTAAATAATTTAATTGATGATCAAATCTCAAATCATGATATTAAAAATAATTAATTCTTATATATTAATTTATTTGGAATATATAATTTAATTAATTATTCTTAATATATAAATGAACAAAATTATTGTTTAGATGAAAAGCTATTATATTCAAGAATTTTTGAACGTTAAAGAAACATGGAGGAAATCGTTTAAAATAGCTGTTGTGATTTTATTGATTGAGAATATCCAAATGTTATCTATTTATACTGAAAAATTAAATGACTTTGAGTATGATTAATTTTTAAATCATATCAGAAATTTTATAGATTATTTTAGGTCCAAGTTTTTGTATATATATTAGATTTTACACATTGTTTGGAAATTCAATCAACATAAGAATAATATTCATAATAGCAGGACTTTTATTGTAAAGCTTAGTCATTTTATTGCTGGTTAGCTAGATTTTTAAAATGAAAGTGTAATTGATAAAAAATTAAGACCTCTAATTTTTGGCAATAGAAAAAGTAAACTTAAAACTAAATTAGAATCACGAAACAAAAGTAGAAAAAAATTAACTTATAAATTTGATTTTGTCACTTTTTTTTTAGATTCATCATGGAATTTTGTAAATCCCATAACTCTTTTGCGGCTTCAGTTTAATTACTGATTTATTCAATTTTTGTATTAATAAAAAATATTCAGAAAGTATAAACTACTTTGAATGGGCTGGTGTAATATTGGGAATTATGACCATTGTTTAATAAATCATTATAGGATCATTAATAAATTTACATTAGTTTGATCATCGAATGAAAAATTTTGATTATTTAGGAAAATTTTAATAGTAAAAGATCCATCTTATTTATGCATTTTAATTATTGTATATATTTATGATGAATAGAAAATTAGAGTGATAATTTCATCAGGTATTCAAGCATCAGTTTTAATTGTTTAATTATTAGGAGTAATTAAATCAGTAATACAAATTATATGCGATTATAATTAAGAAGTTTTTATAGATTATCGAATTTCGAGACTGAATCTAAGAATTGTAGTGCTTTGTACAATTTATTAAATTTTATTGATGATATGTTAATTTGGTTAGCCAACTTTGAAAATTAGTATAGTATTATTAATCTTGTTATTTTATCCACCATTAATATTTTTGACTAATGAAATTCTAATTAGATAGGATATAAAAAATACTAATTATTAGACTAGAAATTTGGAAAAATATATTAGAAGATTATATATAATGTTTAAACAATAAGTAGATTTGAAAAAGCAATAAAGATTACTTGACCCTCAATAGTCACTTGAAATTTATACATTTATATCAAGTCATTTGAGAGAGTGTAAAATATAAAGAGAAAGGAAAATGATGAAGAATATTAAATTAAAATATAAATGCTTTTGTTAAGACTTTTTTACAGATCAGGATTCCTTTTAAAGTCTTGAGTCCATGAAGTAATTTGCTAAAGGATTAATTGGATAAACATTTGAAGATGAGATAATTGAAAAAGCAAATACAAATTTAATTTTAATTTACATATACTTTTTGGTTTAAATTAAAAAAGTTCCAACCCAAGCAATATATGAAGTTATTAGATTATCTATGATTGAAAAAGTATATTTATGATTAAAAATTCATAAGGATTAACCTCTAAAGAATTAAGCCATTGTAAACAAATTAAAACATGATGCACTTTAAAAATTTAGTGATATAGTTAAAAAAAATGATTTAGTAAATTAAAGGTTTGTGTTTAAAAAAGTTTATCAATATGAAGAATCATTGAGCGTATTGAAAACAAATTTATGTATTGTAGTAAAATAAGAAAAGGTATATGATTTAATTATAGAAGGATTTTTATGGTTGTATTTTGACATAGATTATTGATATTGACATGCTTTTAAATGTTGGTTTTAAATTAATATAAAATATTAGAATGCTTGAAAATCAATTTTAACTATTATTTAAAACAAATCCATAAAATAATGAATGTGATACAATTTTTAACATTTTTCATAAATATGTTAATTATAATAAAATTAGGCCAAAATTATATAGAAAAGAAGGACAAATAATGATGTAATTTTTACAATCAGCAGAGAAGATAATATACGATCCTGGTAGTTGTGTGATATAAATAACTTTATTATAACCAAGAGGAAATGTTATAAGATATACTAGATCATTTTAAAGAGCTATAGGGTATAAAGATGAAGAGATTTAAGATTAGAATATAAATAGATTTATGCCTTAAATAATAGCAAATGATCATGATTTATATTTAGATAATTTTGTTGAGAGAGGAAGGATAAATGTTGTTAGAAGTGCTGTAAGAGTAATTTTAGGAAAAACTAAATCCTAATTTGTAGTTCCAATAAATACTAGATTAAGAATAGAAGCAAGTCCAATTGAATTTGGTGCTACTGCATTAATTACACCAGTAAATTTAACATATGGTTATATGATGTTAAATGAATCAGGTTAGATTGAAGAATTAACATAAAATTTATATGAGGATGTTTTTGAAAAACATCTAGGATTAGAACTTGATCATGTAAAAGGATTAGATTGTTTATTTTTTATTCCTGAATTAGGAAAAATATGGGATAACTTATTTGATGATCATTTTGAAAAATTAGATAAAAAATTTGATTGTTAATTAATACTTCCATTAATAACTAAATAGATGTCTAGAAGTTTAATTCGTTCTAGATCTAATATATTTTCTAAAACTAATATACAAACAAATATTGCTAAATAATTTGAAAATTTACCTCATGAAAATGTTGTTTATTAAATTTCTATTCATTTAATGAGTTTAATTACTATTAATCTAAAGTAATAAATATATTTTTATAATAATTAGATTAGTTATAGTAGAAATACCTGAATATAAATAATTGATGAATCAAAAAATTACTAGTAGATAACTACTTTAATTAAGAAATAGATCATCATAATTAATAAATATTTCTTCATCAAAAGATCTTCCAACCTAAAAAGTAGATCTTGCTTTATCTTCTTTAAATTCTCCTCCTGGAGGAATTACTTATGAATGTGATTTAGAATATGAAAATTTAATTGAAGATATAAAAATGATTGAAGAATTGAAAAATTAATTGGCTACTATTAACATGAATAATACAGCTCAAAATAATTAAAATGATCCTTTTTTACTTTAAAATAGTGATAATTAATTAGAAGGTAGAATCATTGAATTTAGAAATGATCCTTCAGAATAAAGTAATGAATTTAGTGAAGCAGATTCTGATTTTAAAGAAAATGCATAAGATTAAAATATACAATATAATAATGGGTCTGTAGGTAGTCGATCTTCATAAAATAATACTACAGCTCTAAAAAGGTAAATTAAAGATTGTTTATCTGATTCAAAAGGATTAGGTATTCGAACTAAACTCTTTTTAGCTTTAATTTATTTCTTAATTACTTCTGGATTTTTAATTAATTATTTGATTTTGTATTTTAATTTTTAGAAAATTCATGAAAACTAAAAATATGAAAATTTACCCTTTGAATTTTCCTATTATTATAATGAATTCATAATTGGATAATCATATTTAGATTATGATTAATTTAATTTTACATAACTAAGTTAAATATCATTTCAATATTTTATGATAAATATTAAAAATATAGATAAAACTATTTCTTTATTACCTCATGTAAATATTATTAATAATCTAACAATGGAAACCAGAATTTTAAATATAATGTCATAGTTAACCAAAGTTTTAAATATGAATCATTCAATCAATCAAAATGAATTCTATAATAATACTGATTCATTTAATCTTTAAATAGGTGAAATTGAAAATGCAAATTCAACAAAGTAATTACTCAGTCTATCAATTTTGTAAAATATTTCATTTCTAATATTAGTGTAACTGTTGAGGAAATAATCTTATTCATTTTACTTGGACAATACATTTATTTTTGTGTTCAAATAATAAAAATGAAATAAAAAATTTATAAATTATTTTGTACTTTTTCTAAAGAAGTAATCTAAGAACAATTTGTTTAATTCAGCTCTCTTTATACTTAATTAAATAATACGAGATTTAGAAATCATGAAACAGATGAAGAATAATTTGAAACTACTATGATGCGTTAATATTAAAAAACTGTGAGTTCTAATATGCTTGACAAACACAATAGAGTTGGAAAATAAATTTCATAAAAATGTATACTATTTTATAATATATTTTAGAAACAAACACAGCTTAAATTTTTTTCTTTTTATTCATATTTATGTACGCCTTTATATGTTCTTGTTATTTTATTGGAAGTTTTATATTATAATAGGTTACATAACAAAATGTATCTTCAAGATATTAAGAAAAAACATCTTTTTCCATAACCTTCAATTCTTTGGCATCTACTTTTGCTTAATAAACCATTCTCTTAAATACTACAATAACATCTGATATGACTGATTACTACAATGTTGCTGTTCAATAATTAGGGTTATTAACTACCAATCTCACTTTATACTAAGAAGATCAAAATTATTAAGTTTATCAAATTTTAGTTTAAAATTTGTGCAGTTTGTTTTTAAGTGAATTGTAAATATTAAATCTAAAATTTAGATCCTATAGCTATTAAGAATATTAAGATCTTTTCACTCTTTAGTAATGTTAATCTATGTAGATTCTTGATTAAGGGTTAAGTTCAGTAGTTTAACATTTATTTTCGAATTAATTTGATTTTTTTTAAGTAACTTCTACAAGTAGTCACAATACTATAATAAAAGAATAATATTAAGATCCTACTATTTAATTATTAAGATTATATGCATAATATGGATTTTAAGTAATTATTGAACTACTAACAAATTAAATTATATCCATGATAGATTCGACATTTTTAGTAAATACTATAATGTTTATTTTTGCTTGTGTAATTATGAGTGTTTCATTGATTGCCACAAAAATTACAATTGAAAAAGTTAAATAATAATATTAATAAAGCAAACAACTATTAACATTATTTCCATTTGACAGATTAATGGAGAATGCTTATGTAATTAGTTTTATTACACATGATTTACGTTTTTCAGTTTGAAATATTTAGCTATTTATAACTTAAAATTTAGTTTCATATCAAAATAAATTTTATTCTTATCTTCATAATATTATCCACTTTGATTTAATTTATTTATAAATCCAAATACTTTGAAAAAAATGGAAAAAGTTTTATTTCTGTTATTTTCCTGCCAAAAAATTAAAGATTAATATATCATGTGAGTAATGGTTTACTTAATTAATTTTCTAATATAAATAATCAAAAAAAATTAATAATAAATAATATTTTTCTTCTTCTTTTCATACTGGTTAGAGGCTTTTCTGTTTGGATTTGTTAATGTTTTCTTTAAGTCTATAGAAAACTTAAATTTAAAATTTGATTAAATAAACTTTTATGATCTAATATATTTATTATTTAAAGGTTGAAGGGTTTAATATGCTTTTTGAAATAAAATTGATTTGTATTTAAAGTATTATTATTAAGTGATGTCTTTATTTATTAAAGGTAGAAATGCATTAAATTCTAATTAGGTTTATCAAAATGTGATGTATTTGGTTAGACAATTACATTAAGAATGAATAAATAAAATTTTTATAAGACTGCTTTTGGAGGATGTGTATCTCTTGTTTTATTTTTTACAATGCTGTTGATTTTTTCTCAAAATTTAATCTCATTTTTGAACAAAGAAAATTTAACTGCTACAGTATTAACAACATTTGAAGAATTTCCATCTTTGGCTACTTTGAATGACAATACTTTTGCATTTGCTATCCAGATTGAATAAAATAATTTCATTCAAAACCCTTTTTTTAATATATAAGTTGAATAGAAGCACATAACTAGATTTTTAAATGGATCGAGATTTGAAAATTCTTCATAACTTATTCTTATTCCATGCACATTAGATAGATTTTCTAATATTTTTAATTAATATGGTGTTAATATAACAAAATAATTTTATGATTTGGATCTCTAGAATTTCTTGTGCTTCAAGTAATAATTCAAATTTAATTTAGTTATAATTCCACATTTTCTATACAAGGTACTAATTCAAGTAATTATAATCAAATAATTTAAAGATTAACAATTTTAGTATTTGAAAATTTCAGTAAATAATTGTGTTACAAATAAATCATGTGCTTCTGACGCGGAACGATAAAATGAAATCTAAAAGAATGGGTCATTTAAATTAAAACTTTACACAGTCAATTAAGTTTACTAAATTTCCATATATTTATTAGATATTAAATCCATAAAATCCAGATGATTAATATTTGTAAACTTTTATAGACGATTCATTCTATTTAAAATTTTTACCTTCAGATGTATTCAAAACAGTTGATGTTTTTTTAAAAGAATATGAAGTATAAAATGATCTCAGTTTAACTCCATTTAGTGATATAGCATTGTCAAAATTTTATATCTTAGATTAATCAGAAATAAAGGAAAGAATAGAATTTTAATCTAAAACATCAAATGACATCGCTGCAATATACTTTAGAAAAAGTCCTTATAAAACATCTATTTACAGAAGCTACTTAAAAATAGATGAACTATTATCGAATTTAGGAGGAATTTAATAGATTTTCTTTTTTTTCCTAGGAATTATATTATCACTTTATAATAGATTTTAATGTACGATATTTAAATTATTGTAGTACTTGTAGAATTAGCAAACAAATTATATGAATTTTCATTGATTCATTTGTAACATGAAAAAATTCAAGAAGAAAATTTAGAATAAATTAATCATTTAACAACGGAAAGATAAGAAGAATTAAGAACTAGAAGATTAACTGATTAAGAATTAGAAATTAAACTTGTTAATCCAACCTAAATTAAGTAGAAGGAAAAAAATGGAATTTTAAAATTTGGTTTTAAATAAAAAGAAGCTGAATAAGAAATTAATGACCAAGATGATGATAATAAAAATATTAAAGAAGTTCAGAAAAAATTTTAGAGATCATCAACAAGATTAATTAAGAATCCTTTTGCAAATAAAATTATACCTGAAAATGGTCTATAATATTTCAAATAATAAATTATCACAATAATAAATAGATCTTAACCAGTTTTATTAAGTTTTAGTATGATTATAAATTTCATTACTTGTAATCGTTGTTGTTCAAATAAAAAAAATATTTAATTAATGAATAAAGCTATGTAAAAATGAAGTTTCATTTTAGAGATTAAATAACCGATTAAATAGATTTATTTAATATACTTACAAAATTGAATGAATTAGACAAAATTAAAGAAGTTATTTTTACACCTGAATAATTATTAATGTTTAATTTTACTCCAAAACCAATGATATCTCTAGATATGACTAAAAAAACAATTAATAGATCTTATTTTGAATAGAGATCTAAATGTGATATAGAATCTGAGTAACAAAAACATCTATTTGTAGGCCTCATGAAATAAGATAGAAAAAATCAATACCTATTTAAAGAGGAATGCATTTAAGAGGAGATGCTTAATTGTATTAGGATATATACAATGTAAAGTTCTATATATAAATAGGCATATGATGAAGTTCTCTAAGATTAAGAAGAGAATATTATCAATAAATAACTTATTAAAAAGTTAGGTCCTGAAGTTTAAGCTATATTTAAACTATCAAAATTTATTGATCAATAAAAACTCTCTGCAAGATCTTAAAAAAGGAAAATTTTATTATAATACAATGAATCTCCTAGTATCGATTGATTTTGATGATATTACCATATTATTTTTTTACTTTCTCCACCCTGATTATAAACAACAATATTTATTTATTTTTAAAGTTAACTTTTAATTGGTTTTAAGTATTAAAAAAAAATTTTAAGCAGAAAAATCTTAATTGAGAATAATTTTAAAATTTATGAAAAAAAAGATAATTTTCCATATATCAAAATATTTTAATACATTTGGCATGTTTCATCTTTTTAATGAAAAGCTTTTTCATATATCTAAATTTAGATCAAAATTTTATCCTAAATAATTAATATCAATATTTATAATAAGAGTGAAAGCAAATTAAAATCATAAATATTTAATTTTGATTGAATTGGGTAAATTTTATTGACTTCTTTTTGAATTATTAAATAAATAAGAGAAAAATTTTTTTCAAAGCTAAAATATGAGTAGAGTTTGAATAATAATGGTTAAAACTTTCATTATTTTATAAAAAAGCTATTTATGCTCTTATTATTTTAATAATAATATTATACTATTATAATTGACAAAGAATTAACTTATTATTAATGTCATTAAAATTGTATTGTTCTAGTGTTTCTAACGTAAATTCAAAATTTAATTTAAAATTTAACTATGTTTTAATCCTGATTAACCTTTTGAGCTGTCATAAACTATTTATAGAAAATAGAAAAAAATGTTATATTGAATTATTTTTATTTTTTAGTTTTTAAATAAAATAGTAATTTAGTTTGTTTAATATTTAACTAGTATGAAAATTTGGAATTAATAAGCAAAGTCTTCATTTCATTCTTTAATAATTAAAAATTTTAAATTGATGTCATGCCTTTAAGTTCTTCAATAAAAAAAGTAAAGCATTAAGCAGATCTTATGTTGAAAAAGATTAAATGTAGAGAGATGATGTAATTTTTTTTTAAATTATTATATAATCAATTCTGTAATCTAGATTAAAGTAATTATACTTTGATTTTTAATATTATGTTTTATTAAAAAGGTGAATTTATTTTGGATTGAAGTTAGTAATTAAAATTATAAAGGAAAATGGAACTTGAGTTAATGGAATTCGGAATCATGTAGATTTATTAATCTTTTAAAAATCCAAAAAAATAAAATCGCAAAGTCTCTAAAATGAAATTTAAATACTAATAAGAAGTATAATTAATTTTTGATAATTTGTTAGTTAAAAATAATTGATGATCATCTTAATGAAAATAGTGTTAAGAGAAATAAGTATTTATTGTTATTTTATGTATTTATTGTATTGTACTAAAATATTATTGCTCATTATTTTCTTTAAACTTTCTTGCTTGCACCTCTTTTTGAATAGAAAATATCATCTCTTCTGAATTCAAATTCTAAATCTCTAGTTGTTAACAATTTATAGACAGCTTTGACAGCATCAAGTCTAGGCTCTAATTCTGCTTTGTCTTATTCATCCAAGAAGCTAAAATAAATTTTATAGTATATACACTCTATAGAATTTAGAGCCATCAACTCTAACTCTTGTTCTTCTTCCTAATATGAAAGTTGGTGCAACAAGATCTTCAAGGATTGCATCATATACTGAGGTGAGTGTTCTTGAATTTGGTCTTGTTTATGATCTGTGACTTTTGACCCATTTACTTTCAATTGTTCTTTTAGCAACAACAAGAATTGTGGCTTTAAGTCTTTTTTCTAATTCTGGTAATAATTTTGAGCTATTTTATTTTGATCTTTAGAGTACCTAACTTTATTGAAAACGGATAAGCATGGATGAGGAATGTATACCAAATAAACTTGTTTTTTGGCATTAATTTTAGCAGTATAATCAACTACTGATGAAAGTTTAAGATTCTTAGCATCAGCTAGTGATTACTCAATTTAAGTCAAAGCAACACCAACTTATTATTCCAAATTTGATAACTTATAATTCAATAAATAAAATTACTTCTGTCTTTTTCCAAAACTTATTAGCTGCCATTCCTGATAAAAATTTGATTTTTATTTAAATCTTTTTTATTAATAATTCAGATGACCTTCTTTTATAAAAATCTATTGAAATCATCTTATTTTTGATGGTCTCTAATTTGAATAGAATCTCAAAAGGTTAGTTAAGAATTCAAATTTTATATATTTATCCAGTAAATTTTTAAGGCTTAAAATATAAACTAATTTCTTTAAAAAAATGTTATTCTTCTTTTTAATGATAACTTGATAAGTATGGGGTAGGATGAATAGATTAAATGAAATTTATAAAGAAATGATATTATCAATTAAATAAATCTATGTATATACTTAATTAAATTAAAATTAACATAATAAACAAAAGATTGATTCATTGAAGATCTTAAATTGATGATGAATGTTTAATATTTATGAATAAATATATGGCAATGAATTAATTTTAATATTTTATTGATAAAAGTAGATTGAAGAATGATAAGGGAGAGAGGTTATTAGAGTAATAGAGTAAAATTGAGAATAGAATAAATAGAAATCTTTTTTGAAATGAAATTTGAATAATTTGATTAAAAATAATAATAATAATTAATTCGAAGCTTCTAGAAATAAAAATTGAGTATAAATGAGGTTCGGTTCACAGATAAAATTTAAGTTTAAAATTAAGTAATGGCAACAGAGTAAAAGAAAGAAGAGTAATTCCACTTCAATGCAGATATCTAATAGTTGATGGGTTTAATTATCAATACATTCTATTCAAACAAAGAGATTTTTTTAAGAGAATTGATCTCAAATGCATCAGATGCTTTAGATAAGATTAGATATAAATCAATAACAGATCCAGATAGTGCTGGTTTGAATACTGAGCCAAACTTCAAGATTAAGATTATTCCAGATAAGAATAGCAATACTTTAACAATTTAAGATACAGGTATTGGTATGACAAGAGATGAAATGATTAATAATTTGGGTACAATAGCAAAATCAGGTACCAAGGCTTTCATGGAAGCTTTAAGTTCAGGAGCAGATATATCTATGATTGGACAATTTGGTGTTGGTTTTTATTCTGCTTATTTGGTTGCTGATAAGGTTGTAGTTATCTCAAAGGCTGTAGGTGAATAATAATATAGATGGGAATCATAAGCTGGTGGAACATTCTTTGTTTTTGATGATTCTGAAAACCCAGTATAATTAACAAGAGGTTCAACAATCATTTTACACATGAAGTAAGATAACTTAGAATTCTTGGAAGAAAAGAGAATTAAGGATTTAGTTAAGAAACATTCAGAATTCATTGGATTCCCTATTGAATTATAAATTGAAAAAACAACTGAAAAAGAAGTTAGTGATGATGAAGATGAAAATAAAGAAAAAAAAGCTGAAGAAGGTGAAGTCTAAGAAGAGAAAGACAAGGCAGAAAAAAAGAAGAAGAAGATTAAGGAAGTTAGTACAGAATTTGAATAAGTTAATAAAAATAAACCATTATGGATGAAAAAACAAGAAGAAATTACAAAAGAAGAATACGCTAATTTTTATAAATAATTGACTAATGATTGGGAAGAACATTTAACAGTTAAATAATTCTCAGTTGAAGGAGGTTTAGAATTTAAAGCTGTTCTTTTTATTCCAAAGAGAGCACCATTTGATTTATTTGAAACAAAGAAGAAGAAGAATAATATTAAATTATATGTTAGAAGAGTATTCATTATGGATGACTGTGAAGAATTAATCCCTGAATATTTAGGATTTGTTAAAGGAGTTGTTGATTCTGAAGATTTACCTTTAAATATTTCAAGAGAATTTTTATAACACAATAAAATATTGAAAGTTATTAAGAAGAATATCACAAAGAAATGTATTGAGATGATCTAAGAAATAAGTGAAAATGCTGAAGATTATAAGAAATTCTATGAATAATTCTCAAAGAATCTTAAATTAGGTATTCATGAAGATTCAGCAAATAGAACTAAATTGAGTGAATTCCTTAGATTCCATACATCTAAGAGCGGTGAAGAATTAATTTCACTTAAAGATTATGTTGGAAAAATGAAAGAAGGATAAAAAGATATCTTCTTTATTACAGGTGAATCTAAAGCTTCAGTTGCTGCATCACCATTTGTTGAAGCTTTAAAGAAGAAGGATTATGAAGTACTTTATATGATTGATCCAATTGATGAATATGTCATTTAATAATTAAAAGAATTTGATGGAAAGAAATTAAAGAATTGTACCAAGGAAGGTTTAGATTTAGATTAAACTGAAGATGAAAAGAAGAAATTTGAAGAATAAAAATCAGCATTTGAAGGATTATGTAAATTAATTAAAGAGATCTTGGGAGATAAGGTTGAAAAAGTGTAATTAGGATAAAGACTTGATTAATCACCATGTGTATTGGTTACTGGTGAATATGGATGGTCTGCTAATATGGAAAGAATTATGAAAGCCTAAGCCTTAAGAGATCCATCAATGAGTAGCTATATGATGTCTAAAAAGACATTAGAAATCAATGCTAATCATCCTATTCTTACTGAATTAAAAAAGAAATCAGATAAAGATAAGAGTGATAAGACAGTTAAAGATCTTATTTGGTTACTCTATGAAACTGCTTTACTTACTTCTGGATTCAGTCTTGATGATCCAACTCATTTTGCTAATAGAATTCACAAAATGATCAAACTTGGTTTATCTATTGATGATGCTGGAATTGAAGAAGAAGATGAAAAACTTCCATAATTAGAGGTATTATTTATTATTTATATTTTTATTAGAAAAAAGAAGATGCTAACACTGAAGCCACCAAATCAAAGATGGAAGAAGTTGATTGATTTATGTTCATTTGTGTGTTTTTAAATATACAGTAATTTAACATTTATTAATCCTATTATCATTATATCACTATCATATTTTATCAATTATATTTACATAAATTTTATTTATCTAAACTAATCTATACTAATGGGTTGTAAAATATCAAATGTAGCTCCTCATATGAGTTATTCGACTAAATTTCATAATGCAGAGAATGGATAATCAGAAATTAGAAGAAATGTTAAATACGCTGATAAACTACTCTAAACTCCTGAAAATAAAGATGAAATTCTTACATTACAAGATTTATTTTCAAAAAGTGCTGATAAAAATGCTACCAGATATTGTTTAGGTTCATTTATAAACAACGATTTCTAATTCATTACATATTCATAAGTTTAAGAAGAAGCCATTCATTTAGGCAGTGGGTATTAAAGAATAAAATATATTTTAAGAATAAAAACTTGGGGTCTAGCAAATGAAATTAATGAATATTAGAACTATAAATTAAAGTTATTAGGAGTATTTAGTAAAAATAGAAGAGAATGGATGATTTTAGATATTGCTAATATATTCTATGGATATACAATGGTTCCATTTTATGATACTTTAGGTAAAATAAATCTATTATAATTTTTAGGTCCTGACTCTATCCCTTTCATACTAAATCAGACAAATATTGAAACTATGTTCTTAAGCGCTGACGCAACTAAATCATTACTTACATGTAAAGAAAAAGGAAAATTATAAAATTTGGTTCTATTTGATCCCATAAATGAAGAGCTAGAAAGAGTAAGACTATCTGTGCAAATTAGGAATTAAAAAATAAAGGCTATAAATTATTTAAATACTAAGATGTTGTTGAAAATGGCAGATAACAAATATAACCTCTAGCATAAACTTATCCAGAAACCATTTATACAATTTGTTATACTTCTGGAACAACTGGAAATCCTAAAGGAGCTTTGATAACCCACGCCAATTTCGTATCTGCTGTAGCTAGTACTATGGAAACTGATGCATAACTTAATTCTAATGATATTCATCTATCTTATTTACCTTTACCTCATGTTATGGAAAGATTATTAGTAATCTCATTATTATACGTTGGAGCCTAAGTAGCGTAATTTTTTATTAATATTTCTAGATTTTATAGAGGAGATGTAAATCTACTAAAGGAAGATATTTAAAAATTAAGACCTACTATCTTTGTATCTGTACCTAGACTTTATAATAAATTCTATGATGGAATTAAAACTAAAATCTCATAAGTTACAGGAATTAAAAAAACATTTGTTGAATAAGCTATCAGTTCTAAATTATCAACTTTAAGATCTGAAGCTAAATATACAAATTCATTATATGATAAAGCATTCGAAGAAGTTAAATAATTATTTGGAGGTAGATGTAGATTAATGATTACAGGATCTGCACCTATTTAAAAAGATGTTATTGATTTTTTAAAAATTGCTGTCTGTTGTCCTATTTTAGAAGGTTATGGTTAAACTGAATCTTCAGCACTCTCATTTTCAACAGCTAGATGGGATCCTGAATCTTCTCATTTAGGTGGACCTGCAGCTAATACAGAATTTAAATTAGTTGATGTTCCTGAAATGAATTATACATCCAAAGATGTTATTAAAATCTTTAAAGGAGATAAAGAAGAAGAATAACAAATTCCAAGAGGTGAAATATGTTTAAGAGGACCTGGTGTTTTTGTAGGCTATTATAAAGATCCTTAAAAAACAGCTGAAACTTTAGATTCAGAAAAATGGTTACATACTGGTGATATTGGTATGATAACAGAATAAGGCGGAGTAAAAATTATTGATAGAAAAAAAAACATTTTCAAATTATCTTAAGGAGAATATATTGCACCAGAAAAGATTGAATCTATTTATAATAGAGTTTAAGGTGTATCAGAAAGTTTTGTTTATGGAGAATCTATTTAAAATTAAATAGTAGCAATAATAGTTCCTTAAAATGATTATGTTTAGAGATAAGCAACTCTGATGTAACTCTAAGGTAACTTTGAAGCATTATGTTAAAATTAAAAAATTATTTCTTTATTTTAATAAAACATTGAAGTATTTGGAAAACAAAATTAACTAAATTCATTAGAGATAGTAATTTTATAAAAAATAATTTTAGGCAAAATTAATTTATCTAGAGCCTTAACCTTTTTAAAATTTAGGATGTCTCACTTCCACTTTAAAATTATAAAGGCATATTGCTAAATAAGTATTTGCTAATTAAATTTAAAATTTATATAAATAAAAAGTTTGATAATGCATTATTATTATGAATAAAATTAAATATATTTTGAAAAATTTATTAATCAAACTTAATAATCAACCTAAACTTCATTCCTATACTTTTAAGTATGGGTGTTATTCACCTTAGTATTTCTTTAAAATAGTATAATAAAAACGATTCTTAACTTAATTTTCCTAAAAATAGAATTTTTAATTTTACAGATCTATTTTTAAGCATTTTAGCAATAACAGCCCATTTAGCTCCTCCTTTCTTATATTCTTCTAAAATGATTCTATCCTCATCTAATGACCACTCTTCATGTGTTATAGAAGGATCGATTTAATTCACATATCTATCACGCACTTATTTTGAAGTACGGCCTGCCAATTCTAAAAATTATAAAAAAATAGTTACTTTAACTTATCCTAATCCATTGTCTTCCAAATTCTTTATAGGCATCTATTAAAATTTGATCTTCTTCATAAGACCATTTTTTTTTAGTTCTTTTCTCTTAATCTTGAAGCTTTCTATATTTTTGAGAACATTAAGAGATATTTCTACCCTTGAGATGTTTAATAATTTATTTCCAATGGCCTTTGTACTTTTTATAGTAAAAAATTAGATTATTTATTTCTTTTTAAGTCCATAATTAACCTTTTCCTCTAACTATTCCACTAGCGTTAGTATGAATTTCATCTAAAAGGGGTTTAGTTTACTCTTTTTCACTCTCAGAATGGAGATCAACCTTAGCAATTTATTATTGAGCCACAGGATTAAATTGGAATGGTATATAATAAGGAACAAAGTAGTAAATAGGATTGGGTGAATTGATGTACATTGATATTTATAAACTTGAAATTAATGTTCTATAATTAAAGCCTTATTTATAGAATAGTCTATAAGTTGGTCTCAATAATATTGTTATTTTATTTAGATGATATAAAAAAATTGATCAACCTTGAGATTAAATTTTTTTTAAGGAATCTCTTAATGCATTATTTAATACTCTTATAAATTCTTTTTCAACTTTTATAACAAATATCTTGCTCAATGAAGCTCATAGCCCTTCCCATCATGCCAAATTTACATTTTCTTAATTTTCTATGGATGTAATTAATAATATTGTCATTAAAATTTAAGTTTATCTAATTACCAATATTTATTA